AACCGAAAGCACTAATCAGAAGGGGTTACGCAATTTTGTAAATGTGTATTATATATACTAACAGTGTGTGTGTGTGTATATAATAAATAGCATTTTCTATTCAAATCTTATATCGGACATTATATTGTGTTCCATGCAACACTTCCTGTATACTAATGCCAGGCTCAGCACGTCAATCTATCGGATCACATGGGAGGAATTAGGAGTAGGGATGGTTCTTAAACAGCTCTTAAGTGCCAAAACTGATGCATTATTAACGGTGTATGCACAATAACACATAGCTTAAGTTTCCCAGAAAAAGCAGATGAAAATACTCTATATGCAAATACTGAGTTAATATTAGCAAAGTGGCGGGTGACGCGCTGACATGTACAGTGCGGTGTGCATATATGGAATGTGCTAAAGGCTTTCAACAAATGACATATTTACATTTTCCCACAGGTTCTGGTCGCTCCCTGTAATAACATGCCTCGCCCTGTGCGTCTCACAGTGTATGTTTTGTGACTATGCACCACTCAAGGCTCCATGTGCATTGTAGCGTTATTGGTTAACATAAGTGCAAGCAGTTGGTCTATGAGGATCACTGTCTAAAAAGATATCTCAGACAGGAATATAAGACTGAACTTAGAAATTGCAATGTTGGAAAACAAAACAAAAAATAAAAATAAATAAATGATTATGGCCTGCTACTGTTGTTTCATTGGGCAAAACATCTTATTATTATTTATACATGTTTTTGTTGTTGTTGTTGTTGTTGTTGTTAACTGAAATGATTTTAGTTTAACAGTTTTACCATTCAAAAGACTGATCACAGAAACTCGACCTGATATTTGGGTTTGAAAACAATATGAAGAATTGCCATTTGATTCTGTTCCTAGCCCAGTCCCATGATTGAATGTTTATTGCATATAGCCTCCCATCACTGAGCTGGCTATATAAGCAGTCTGCATGATAATGTGTCATACACAGTGTGCTAATTCAAAGGTAAATTAGGGCGGACTTGACTGGAGCACCCTTTATTGGTCTCCTGTAAAGAGGACCCAGCCATTTTAATTAAATTACTTATACCTCTTTAGCAGCACAATTAAGCAAGTTAATTAGTTGCATAATGGCCGCCTGGATAGCTAACCAAAGCGTGATTAAAAAGTATTATAGCATGAAGTGTGGTCAAATGTGATTGGAGCTTTGAGGAGGGGGAAGATACAAAAAGATCTCTCTGTCTGATATGTTTGGGGTATTCCTGTTAGTGGACTAGTCTTCTGGGGTTGGCTCAGATAAAATATAAAGCTGACAGTGGTAGAGACTAATATAAAAAAAAAAGACAAGGCCCTTGGGATACTTCTCTGACATTTTAAAATTTTACCAAGATATATTATGACCGATGTTTATTTTTATTTATTTGCCAACAAAAGGATGATTTGTGGATTGCACCATTGATTCCACCTCCAGAAGCACACCTCCACAGGGCTGATCTTTTTTTATGAATAAAAATCCAGTGAGAGGTATTTGCTACAGTAGTGGGTTCATAAAGCTGTGCAGCCATATGTTTGCTCTTAGGAGGTGGGTGATGTTAATGTAAACATGACATACAGGAGGAGGTCCTCAGAGAGCGGCCCAAGGGGGAGAGCAGCATTGCAGTACAACAGTTATGCCGCATAGACGGGGCCCCAGGTTGCCTTGGAAACCATACAGAGGTTATTGACATAATTTCAGAGATTTCAGAAATGCTTTGTATCACTGTATGTATTACTGCAGTGTGGTCCACATGAGCAGAAATGAAAACCCTATGATAGCAAATATGTAATATATGTACATGATTACCAGACTGACTTTTAACTGACAGTTCTTAATTCCCCTACTTCATGCCCCGGTGCGGCCGTCCTCAGTGGTGTTTGTAGTCAAACACAGACACCTCTGTCTCATTACAATGTCCCATGAGCCTTTGCCTCACACACACATACACACACGCATACGCATCATGTCCTAAGTCTGGACCACCAGTCTGGCTTCCCCGTCTGACCTCATCATAAGGACCTTGTTAATTGCTCTGTTAATTATACTCATCATCACCCAGCCTCCTGACAGCTGATCTGCTGACTAAAAAGGATGGATGCTATAAAGCAGAATTATTCTGCGAATGGTATTTAAACTGTATAATGGGGAGCTGTGATTATGACTCTGCTGTCTTTGATTTATCACTTTGTTTTTCATCTGGTAAAGACCAAAAGGATGGTGTAGCAGTGGTTCAGCATCAGCATAACTAGAGAGTTCACTGGGTCATCAAATTCATATGGTGACAATTATTTCCATATAAACATGTGCATGAATGTGCATACATATGCCCTGTGAGTGTGAATCTACTAGACATGAATATACAGAAGTGGAATGGCTTACTTATTATGTCATTTTACACAATATTGGGACATAATGTTTATTTAACTGACAAGTTAAAATTATAAATAATGAGGGTATCAAAATATGTCATCAAATGTGTTATCTATTATGTTTTAAAATATAATGCTTTCATTGAATAATTGTTTGACAGCTGTAATCACTTCATATAACTATAGAATTGCTACTTACACAATACAAACTACTTGAGAGTTTGAATCATTGACTTCCTCCATTGGTTGTTGAGGTGTGCTGGTGTTTAAGCTGAAGGCTGCTCTCCTGTGATGGATGTGTCTGGACACACAGACTTCAAAGTCGTTAATTGAAAATTGAGACAGTGTAGAGATGATGCTATTGATTTCCATGCACTCTATGAGCGCTATATGGCAGCCGGGGCTACCTTGAGGACAGGGTGAAGAGGTGAGGAGGGAACAACAGCAGGTCAGAGCAGGACAGAGGAAGTGTGGGGGGGAGGGGCGGTCCCGGGGCGGAGATGAGGTTAGGGTAGGCTGCTAAGTGGGGTCTGCAGATGGACATTACACTGCCTTAAATGATGTTGGTACAAGCATATGTTGGGAGCATAACCCCGGACCATAAACCCATGAAGGTTTACTGCCCGTGGAGCAGCTCCAACCTCTGCCTCTTCTCTCCAGCATCGATCAGAGCAGGGCAGGCCGGCCCCCAGGCTGTTTGTAAGTCAACACAAACCCACAAACCTTCAAACGGGTGTCCAGCAATCAATAGAGGTGGAAATCGTGTTTACTCCTGTTTTCCATGGCATTTGAAATGGACTTTGATGGAGGCCCCAGAACAGCCCTGGTCCACTGCGGGTCTCTCCTTTGTCTTGTGGAGCACCTACAGAAACACAAACATTACTGTATATCAAACTGTCTCTAGTGGGAGGATCGTGTTTGTTGACCAATACAAGGCAGTTTAATCAATACTGAAGCTTTCTTCTCAGGCCACATGCCACCCACCCCCAACCCCCCAAAACACCTGGCCCCACAGCTTTCTGTTTAAGACAAAAAAGTTAAATAATACAAATAATAATAATAATAATAATAATAATAATAATAATAATAATAACAATAATAATAATAACACACACTATAAACACTATGTATTACTAAATTCTTACTTTGTTTTTCAATTAACCAACAAACCAAGATTGCTATGATCTTTGATATAGAGTTGTCTTTAAATATAACACTTTATTGTATAGAACAGGTCTCATTCTGATGTGCAACAATGATATCAAGGTTTGTCCTACTCATTAAAGGAACAAAGTTAAACTCAGATGTGCCAAGGCCTGTGTTCTGGTGTATTCCTTATAAGGTTATGCTCTACTTAGCAACGGTTGCTAAGCAGTGGGGATACAGGGGGAGTTGGTACATCTCTGCGCACTAAACTGAGACGGTATAATCTTAACATAAAACTTTACTACAACAAACCAGCAGAAGGTATTAAAAGTGTTGTAGGTGTAACATTATTGAAGAATCAATAAAGTAGAATAATTGCAGGTAACAGATGCAGGCAATGGAACAAGGATGCGTGGCAAAGGTGACCAGCAGGGCCCTAAATGGAGTTGAGAATGGAGGCCTGAGTGTGATTCAGAGCTTATTGGTATAGCATGAGGGGGCAGTTAGGACCAAATTACCTCTTGGCCATTTACCCCCTCCTTCTGTGTAATGGTGGACCTTTCAACCCAAAATAAATAACCACATGGCCAGCTGCCATGGCCGCCATGTTGAGTTACAGCACACCTCTTAAACATTGAGACTGAGATTTAGATTCATGAACACAGCTGGACTACATATTTCTCACATAAAGACTAGACACTGTATTTGGTGAAACTAACAATGTGCCAGGGTGAATACTATGTTTGATTGATATTTACAGTTTCCCCCCACAGTTGTAGACATCAGTGGTGTAGCATGCAATATGTTCAATGTAGTTCACATTTTCATTTTCATTAGCCTTCAGTGTTAGTTTACCATAATATATTCTTGCTTTTTGTTATTATAATATATTGTGATGTGTGAGCTACTTTGTCCAAATAATTTCTCTTCTGAATCAATAAAGTTTGTCTAAGTCCAAATGTTTTTGCTCAAACATCGAGTAAATATAATGAAATGATCTGCACATTCAAAGTCAGGCAAAATGCACTGTACCTCCATTCTGTGTTGAGTGGGGCTAGAGTAAAGATCTCTCCCTCCTCTCCTGATGCAGGTTGTGACCTGGGGCAGTGTGAATCAGCAGCCCTGTTCACAGTGGCACATAAACTTCAAACAGCTCCAGCTCTAAAGACTGTGAGTGAGCAGTGCCATAAGGAAACATTCCTCTAACGCACTGTGACATATTAATGAGGAGACATTCAGCTCAGTAATTGGAGCTGACAAAACTCATGCTTGTCTCAACATGTTGATTAACACCTGAATCATCAAAACACATCAGGTATATTTGTGCATATTTCACAGTTTTGTGGAGAATAGTTTGGCTTATTGACTTTTCCCCTTCAGCACTAAACAAGTTAGTTACTTAATATCTCATAAGTACAAAGTAAAAACACATGAAGCCTCTATTGGACTGGTATTCACACAGTTGTGCTTTATTGCTGTACATGTACAGTACTTAAAACAGTGGGAAACATTATCATTATGAAAGATCTTTTCTGACCCATATTATATATGCACGTAGTCGATATGTAAAAAAAAAAATAGAATAAAATAATTCTGAAAGGCAGTGAAGTACCCATGTTGAGGTACTAACAACAGACAATCACACTTTGTTTAGTATAGATTCCTGACAAAAATTGGTAAGAAGACGACCACCAGTCGGTGCTGGGTGTGTTGTGGACAGGATGTGAGTGGCATTTAGAAATGAGATGTGACACACTGGATTGAAAATACAGTATAATATAGAGCTTGGCATGCCTTTGTTTAATCTTCTCAACTTATTCTTATGAATACAGCTTAAAATGGAAAGGATTCTGAACAATAAAACGTCCAACATAAGGGTTGTAGTACTTGATCTACATCCCCAATACGTAAGATAATGAATATCTATTAAAATACAACACAAAGGCTTCATTTCTTGCTTAAAAATAGAACTGCATACATATCCCTAACATTTATTACATTAAGCAGTCCTGCACACTTTGCATTTTTTCAGTACCATATGATTTTCAGTGCAAGGCATTGCATACATTCGCCTAATCAGTCCAAAATACTGCTCTGTTTCCATTGTGTGTGAATGCCAGTGGTCTGAGTGGTTTCAGGACATTTTGTGCATCTTCACGCACCAACAACAACTTGAGATCGATCTCTGATGGCACTGCTAATTTGTAAGACTGAATCAATCAGACACATTGTGGGTGATCAGTGGGAATGAGAAATCAATCGCAGCTATTGATACTTTGTGGCTCTAACAATTCTGATCCAATCTCCAAAGATCAAACAGTTTGTCCAGACACACCCGGCCCGTTATAGACACAACAATACAAAACAGTGTGCAATAGAACATCCATATACAATGAACTTGTCTGCTTTGCATCATAGCAGCGAAACATCAGGAAAAATAACATAATATTAAATAGTATATAAACCATTTCATAGCCTTAAACAATCATTCAGAAAAAAGATATTCACATTTTAAAATAAACCTCTTCTTTTCCTCAGCCATTGCATCGAACCCAAGACATTCTTAAATCTGACAATCCCCCCGCTCCCTGGCATCAGCCCAAACCCTGTGTTCGTCCTTACAGTAAAGGTACAACTCATCACATCACTATTTACAGAGCTGTTTCCATAGAAACGCCCATGACCCACAGGAGGGGGAGAAAGGGCTGGGACCACATGGGTCTGTTTGTTGAGGTTACTTTGGGTAAAGATGAAGGGACAGGAGGGGAGACAGAGGACAGAGAGGGGGACACACCCACTGTGGTGGACAGCTGTACAATAATTGAGTTCATCTGGGCTCAAGACCAGACTGTGTATCTTCCTTTCAACATATTTACATAGACAACTGAGTCAATAGTAAACAGCACTATAAGCTCAGATTTGGTCATTTATACAGTACGTAAACATACTGTCTGAGAATATTACAGCTGCTCTGGCCACTGGACTTTGACATTACTGTATTTTTCTTGTATGTGCCTGAAAAATGTACTTTCAGGCGCATCTTTACCTTTGGCACATAGTTTTTTTCTTTGTAACTTAAATAAGTCATTCGTTGGATGAGCAGTTTCCATTTTTCACTTTGTTTTGTTCTGTAATGCATAATAATAATAATAATACACAATATAGGGTACTTAAACCGCATATTCACAAACAGACTTCTGCTTTTACCACTCACTTACAGATCCCCTTCTTCCTGATGGCACATGCACCATTTTGCATGATTGGGCACAAAACATTAAAAAGGTCAAATAGCATCGTCAGCTTAGTCTGTTTTTCAAGTGTGTTCAAAGTATACAACACAAAATGACTGCAGTACATCCATTGAGCCAAAGTCCTTTCATAGTAAAGGTAAGTGCAGGTGTTGGCCACAGGTTTTTGTTTGTTCCTCAAAGGCTGGTGGTGACAATGGGAGCAGAAGTGCACCATCGGATTGTACTGAGGTTAGCCTGACCCTGGGTGCGTGTTGCCGGGGCAGCAGTAGCACTTACAGAGCCCAAAGTTGTAAGAGTAGTGTCCCTGAACAGGTGAGAGGGTCCCATGTGTAAGTCGAGCTTTGAAAGGCGATGGTTCACTTATAAACTTGAGAGTGATCCAAGCCTCGACAGGTGCACAGAGACACATCATGGAACAGCACGTCAAGTATTATCAGCAGCACCATGTTTCGAGTGGACTTCCACGGTGAGCAGCAGGTAGAACATGACAGCAACCAGAAGGGGACCTAAATATTTTACTTTTACAACCCTTGAACTCCAAAGAAAACTACCAAAACATCCAAACAACCCAGAGCACCCAAAGGCAAGAAGATGGCCCCTGTTTTTCCTGACCTTTTTAAAGTATTATACAGTAAATACTAGCCTGTATCACATTTACTTTCGAAGACCATGGTGTACTGTATAATGTGCACAAGTTTGATTGGGGGCTGACATCAGAGTTACTTGGTCCATATTATTATAGTTCTACCAGGAATCTCATGATGAGGCCTTCCTGTTGGTCCAAAGCAGCGTGGGGGGCAGGGGAGGGGACTGAGGTGGGCGTGGCTTCCAGTAGCCCCGCCCCTCACACTGCATTCGCCGCAACCGCAGGAGTTCCCCGAGGGCAGCGCACTCATGGCCGCCAGTCAAATGCAGGCGTTGGAACATCTGAAATCAGAGAAGGTCATTGTTAAAAAAATGAAAGGAAGAATAGACAGACACATTTTAATTGGAGGTGGGTGTTATGTCAAAACAAAAAAAAGATCATGATATTCCTGGAGTCAGATCTCAATTTCATCACAATTCATGTATCATTGCCTTTAAGAGATAACTGATGTAATCTGTTTCTTCAGAAAGCGCTGCCTTCTAGGGAAATTTAGTGAATCACAATATGGCAGTTTGACAAATATTCACAAGTTTTCCAGTCTACAGTGGTCAGTTTCTTTTCAAAAGTAGTCCAAGGAAAACAGTGGTACCATCTGAGAAATCTACTAGACAGAGGGTCATAATGTTATGCCAGTGTATCTAACCTTGAGTGAAAAAATGCATGTCTAATAATCAACTTTACATTGAGACTAATGAATATTCAAGAGTGATAAGATCGTTATGGGATCAATATGTGTTAGAGGTAAACAAGAAGCACACCATACATTACAAATGAAGTACACAGACATAGATGTAGATATTGATTTAGACACCAACTTAAATTATACAAACATATTGGCAGTTAATATGCAAATAATCATGGGTGAAAGAACAAAAAAATATACCAAGTAATAATAATAAAAAAACAGTAAAACACAACAGCAGGGGGATTTCCAACTTTGATCGACATCTCTGGCAATTCCCTCAAATTTCCATACGCTGTCTATGGATCTTCAATACATCACTGTAGAGAGGATCATGTGAATAACAGATCTCCCAAAACTCCTCTCACCACACACACACACACACACACGCACACACACACACGTCAGGCACGCACACACATGTCAGTGCACTAGATAGGGTCATCAGTCAACTGCCAGTCAATACTCTGGCAAATCAATCAGACAGGAACTCCAATCTCCTGCAGTCAGTAATACGCTACAGGACCAGCCCTTATGATCCATACCAGAGCAGGAACGGCAACTTAAAGGCTATTTATAGGCTTTTAAATGGCAAAGTAGTAATTCATATGAGCCCACAAAAAGATACTGTACAAGTCTGCAAAGATATTATATATTTAGTTGCCCAGAGTCATTCCTAAAGCTGAATTTGCACCATTTTAGACGTATTTGCAATATTCTGGAAGCTAGTTTAGCAACAAATATCTTTTTCGTCAATCAGTTGTGTATTATCAGGGTGTATTATAGAAAGAATGTTCAGGGTTATATATTTTTAGATTTTCAAAGAATCATCAGTAGCTATAGCAACAACTGTAATAGTAAGCAGCCAACTTTTTGTGCTTGCGTAATCATGTCTGAGGTACAGTACTTTTCAATGAGATTTTAAGTACTTCAATGAACATGTGTATAGACATAGAGAAGCTCTTACCATGCAACTTTATACTGACCACTTCCTGTTATGCTTGGACTTAAACCATAGGGGTATATTGCCCACAAACATATATGTATGGTCAAACGCCTGCACCAAACTCAATGACCTAATCCATAATTTACACCTTCCTGCCAGGCTGCTCTCTGCACTGGCGCCACGAGGAACTATCTCCGGGAACGGCATGCACAGAGAGAACAGCATGTCCTCCACACAATCATTGACTTCCAATTATGAAAAATAAAATATTCCTTTTTAATCAAACAGGCCCAGTGCCCCAGTAGAACAAAGTGTTGCCATGAACACTGTTAAATCGAAAACTGGGCTTTAATAGAGGAACACATCTAAGAGCCTGAAATGAGGCAAATTAATAAAACAACAATTTAGCCTTTCAAGAATCAATTGTGTTTAGAGCTATAGTTTACATGACAAAATGTTGTGTAGATCAATAACTATTTAAGACCTATTTGTGCTATATAATGGTCTAATGATTTTGGTAGAACAGCCATGTTTCACAATCAGATGAATAGATAATCTGTAACTGGGAGAGATTGCGTCCTAAAAAGTGGACCACAGATGTTCTAGATGTCTTGTGGTATTTACTGACGTATTGATGCTTGCAGACTTTTTCAAACAACAGAAAAAGCCAAAACAAGCCACACCATTGATAACATTCTCCTCCCTGTATTTCTAGGCTGGACCCTTTGGTTTTCATTTTTCCAATTAGATCAGCTAAATCCACACACAGAGAGGAATGCGGCTAATTGAGGGACATTCTGGGTCATGGAGCCGTTCCCATCTCCTAAATGAGAACAGAGAAATCTAACAGAGAACACAAAATGAAAAAAAGAAAAAAAAGAAAAGCATTTATTTTACAAGATCCCCCCAAAATGAAAGATGATAATTTAACGTAGACATAAAAAAAAGAACTTATATATGTGACACGTGGATTCATAGGGAAAGGCTGAATTACTGTAACATAAACAACAGTTGAGGCAAATTTAAAAGTTGTAAATTCAAAACATTGGGAAGACAAAGCGGGGAATTCCAGATGAGCCATAAATAAACAAACATGACAAGGAACCAGTGATAGCAGTGGTTTTCAACATTCAAATTAGGGGAAAGAAGATAAGATGTTCCACACATGGTAAAAAGTAATAAAGTTGAGTTGAGTATGATCTAATATTTTTTCTTATTGCTTTGTCCAAGAAAATCACTGCTGTTTCGGATGGAGAGATGTGACATACACTCACCAATCCCTATAGCAGAGAGAACTGAAGATAGCCCCCTGTCCACCCCTTTGCTGGGTTACAGGGCAGCCCCCGCCCCGAACGGAGAGAAGTTGAGATGACCTCGCTGGAAGATAAAGCATCATGTGAGCGTGATGGACGAGCTCATATCAGATAAGAGGCTCTCATTTTTATGTAGGGCTTTTAAGTCACCGACCATATTATTAACATACATGAATGCACTGGCAAAAGGGGCCTCTCGCTTTCTGAAATACAAGTCACTCAAAGCAATATAATGGTGACCCCAGAGTTAACCACACCTTTTCCTGGTTGCTCCACTAAGTGCATTAAGTAGCATTTTAAACAGTGCGACATTATTGACACCAGAGGAAATAATGAGTCTTACAGCCTCACATAGAAATGATGGGAAATTAGAGCTGCAACGCGGGATCAATACATGGATTGGTTAGTCATGGCCCGGTCATCATTTAACACATTTACAGAAACAAATAAAACAGTAGCTTTTTATTTATTCATTGTTTATTTGATAGGGACAGATACAGGAAACATATACTGAAACTGCACTCTATAATTTTTCTCCCTCCTGCTTGTCTTCACGGAGATGCTATTTCTTTGCCTGGAATGTTCCACTGTACATAACCAATTATCAACCTTTTATGTTTATGTAATTACTGGTGTTTTCTTGCTAAAAAATCCTTAAAGGCCCATACTTCAATATTTTCAGATTTGTGTTTTAATGTTATTTCCTTATCACAAACAGACCTGGATTTAAGTTTTGTTTCATTCACACATGTTTAAAACACAAGTTCTTCTCTCAAATGGAAAACACTCTTTTCCACCTTTTGACGTCATGTGGTAATACAGGAAGTGCTCCATTGTGTTTTTAAACTCCATATAAGTTCACTACAATCATTTGGATGATTTCAGCCCTGCAATTGCCAAACTCAACTGAACTAAGGCTAAAAATTTGCTGTGAAGCTGTGAACTTTAAACTATTGCTGTCATCACAAGGTGGAACAGAGTATTTTGAGCTTTGGAGACAGAGACAGACTAATAATGCAGGATTACTCAAATGTGTGAATGAAACAAAACACAGCTCCAGGTATATTTTTGATGAACAACATTCTTACATGGCTTAAAACTCACAAGTAACAATATCCAAATCTCACGGTACGATGTTTATTGCGATATTTTGAAGAGATTAATATAATTGTAGATGGGACACTTTTTACTTTTAAAATACCTTGACAAGATACGATACGATACCACAGTATTTCAGTTATTACTACACCCTACTCACAAGAGTAAATTTTATATAATATAGGACCTTTAAGTAATAGTAGTAATTAGAACAATACATATTTGTTGTGCATACCATCTAGCTGGTGGAGTTTTATTTATTGTATAATTTGTATTGTATCATACAGGTGGAAGTTGTACTGGTAGGGGTAGTTGGAGCAGACAGTAGTGGTATTATCAAACTCTTACAATTTACTTCAACCCAGGAAGTAATCTTGTTCCGTTTTTGTACTTGACTAATATTGATTTGAAGAAGTTTATTTTTGTTCCTAATTAGCATCTAATTATCTTTTTCCCAGACTGTTTTGAAAGCAGCTCTTGTTTTTTTGCCCTGTGATGACTAAGGGCACGTCCCGGGGTTAGTCATTAGCAGCCCAACATAATGCGGCCTATTTGTGAGCCTGGATGTTTGGTTTGACAGTATTCATGTGACTGTGTGCAAGTTAAATTCAATCCAGTAACCGTACACCTGTCTTTGAAGCCGGAGAAAGCTCACGTGTCAGGAGAGCTACAAAAGGGGCCACTTTCTGCTCAGGCTCTAAATGTCAACAAGTCCAAAACAAAATGTTGCTTTGCTATATTTGTTCATGGCGAAATGTGATAACGACCAATTAACAAGTACTTTAAAAGACATGGAGTTGTACTATAAAGTTGTACTCATATAGGTATAGATAAAAAAATAAATACATGTTTTAATTAAATTTTTGTCAATTTCATACAAGAAAGATTTTCTGAAGGAAGAGTTCAAAGCATGACAAGTGATAACTGGTAAGTTTTTGTTATAGTAATATTCTATTAATAGTTTGGGGATGTAGTAACAACAAAGTACTATGAAGACAAGAGGCACTTGAAGTAATTTTTAGCAGTGAACATTGGTTCTGATTATGCAATAAATGGCATTAGATATTACATACATTTCACAAAAAACATACTTAACATAATTATATTTATAATATTTGGCTTGTGGTCTTGTCTTGTTTTCCTTAACTGGGCAACTTGGGTGAAGTTCATAATTTTACTTCCTGATAGATAATTCCAACTATTACTTAACAATCAGACTGTAAACAAGGCCAAAAGCTTATCTGATTTACATAATATGTTATCAATTATGATGTGTCAAATAAAATTTGTTCTCTTGGCTAAATTAATGTTTAAACCATCAGAAAATTGTGTAAACGGTGCCTGGATTTTCAGTTCATTTGAAATTTTGCAAGTTTACAAAAAAACCTGATCTTAAACTATGAGCTAATATATTTACCATGTGTAGTATTCCAAGCATTTAAGAAATAATAAAACCTGTCATCTGCACTTCAAGAATTTGGGGGGATTAAAACTCAATCAGGAGGGCTCATATTGCACTACTGTGCTTATGTGACAGTATACAATACAGACATAAATAGCAGAAGATACAATAACTAAACTTATGTGTTTACCTGTGTATGGTGACTGTCCATGTGCCGGTGCAGCGTGCTGGAGGAGTTGGATTTGCTGTGAGTCTCTTCTTCTAACGACCCTGAACACACAATGAGAGACGGAAGTTACAAAAGAGCCAGCTTGACTGTACATCCCACTCTCACAGGTAAAGACTCAAGGACGCACTTCTAAATGCGTCAAACAGGATATAAAAAACTTTCTAACTCTAAGTCTCTAATTGGTGTATTTCAGATCTGCGTCATTGTAACAAAATAACTGTTTTTTATTTTAGATTTTAGCTTTTTAGATGGTACCGTTTGAAATCTGGTTGCCATTCTCCATTGGCGCGGGGGTGGTGGAGTGGGGTGTGTGGTTGTTGGCGTTTTTGTCTTGCAGTTGAGGAGAAGGTGAGGTGGGGGCAGAGCCATATTCTTCTCGTCCTGGCAGATTGATGTTCGAGTTGAATCCTATTAGGAATAAACAAATGAATGATTATATGCAGTGTTAATCATTAAAGTCATATATAAGACATCCAATACTTCAAATATTCAGAAAAAGATATATATTTGGTATTGTGCACTTTTTGTTGGTTTGGTTGGTGTAGTTTCGTGTTAAAAAAGGGCCGCATTGAACAAATACATTTTTGGTGTATTGAGCACAGTTTAAATCCAAATATTTCATCTGTGATAATGTTATCACAAAACTAAACTATACTATAACGTTCCAATGAGTGCTATCAAACTTAATTGGGATTAACTGGCTTGAGACCCAGTTTTAACTTCCATACCGCAATGATAATTTTAAAAGTAATTTTTTAGACTAAACAATGTCATTTTTAACACAAAATAACAATAGTTTCCTTTATTTTATACTGTAGTCTTATACTTCTATACTATACTACTGCTATGTTCAATAGACTCTGACACAGTTTTACCCAGCCTGGTCAGTTTTCTGTTATAGCTTATTCACACATACATAGTCAGCTGTTACATACACACTGGTCGCCTCATGGGCCCAACAACTCAAATGTAAAATTAGCCACCACAACTGTAGCCTCCTGGGACGGCTTTGTGCGTTTGAAAACAGCTGGCAGACTGGGGGGTTCATGTGAGGCTTCTTATACTGAAAAGACCCCAGTAACAGCATCTGGAATAGTGTGTTTACATTTTTGCACCATTTGCGGAATTTTGGAAGTTACATTAATGGTTCAAGTATCTTATGACATATGTTTATCCTTTGTGAAAGCCTGCCAAGACCACCTGCCTGTCTCTTCCTGGCATTCCCGTTTGTTTCATTCCCTAAGGATGAGGAGAGCGGAGAGGGGGTAGACGAATTCAGCTGCTCTTTACAGGGATGTCTGAGATAGCAACTGTAACCCCTGGTCACTCCCATTGCATCAGGTATCACATTGGGCCATTTAACAGCTGAGGGGGGGGCGGAAGTAGGCCATCCTGCTAAACCCTCTGGCATCTCGTGGCTCTGTGATCTAAGAGGGCCGCTTTACTTTGCCCACTCAGAATAACACTAAGGTTATGAACCCTAGTGCCAGCTTGCTGTTTCCATGACGCCAGGGCTTTTTCTTTCGCAGGTCCGAGTGCTGACGAAGAGTGAATCACAGGCCGTCACGTGAACATATTCGTCAGCATATGCACTGGCCTCATACCACTTCTTATAAGGACTTGAGTGTGGAATGGTTTTGACCCTGTTACCTTCACCAGCTGTCTGGACACTAAACAAGTATTTTTAGGATGTTTATGTAATAACAAATATACTGTATCCTGCTATGAAAGATTTATTTGTCCAGTACTGTACAATACTGGATTGAGTAATAATCTTTGGCAACACTATGCACCAGATACCATTCAACTTAGCTTTCTCTGAGCTTGTAAAAGTAATGCCTGATTATTTTCATGCTCACATACAAAAGTGCTAGCCAAGCTGGTGCCACCTAGTGCCTCAGCTCAATTTCAATTTCTCTCCAGCGAGTAGGTCAGAAATCAAAAAACACTAGATGGTTTTGCAAAAACCCTGGAAGTTGTAGACCACACACCGGTCAATCAGCGAAGAGCTGTGAAGCCATGACGTCAAACTCAGGCGCCTGTCTGGGTCCCTTTTGTGGTACATCACAACAGTAACCAAAGCGATCGAGATGGATGTAGACGAAGCCATACATTCTGTGTTGGCAACGATTCTCAAGATCAAGGATTTTCATTCTCTGCTTTGTTTGCTGTTGTGCTGGCAATTACTTGGACACCACTGAATGTTCCAGCGCATTACATATGTCACGACCAAATAGCAGCAATTTAAAGTTAAATAATTAGTTAAATAAAAATAGTATCCACCTACTGTCGAGCAAACAAATCCTAATGCTGCGAGGTCAGACACTTTCCATGAAGTGAAACCGGCTGATGAATCAGGCTACAAAAGTGCGTCATTAAAAAAAAAAAAAAAAACTTTTATCAAACATAAGATCACTGGAACATTTATATTTATAGAAGCAGCTCAAAGTAATGTCTTTGTGGGTCCAAACCTCTGACCCTCCCAATACATTGACTGGAGTGTGACAAATACATTTGTGCCTCTTTTAGAAAGGTCAACCTTTTCATCAGTGTCAGAATGTGTATGTGCACTGCATGTAGCGCATCCACCTCCAAACAACCTGGCCATAAAATGCTTGCGGTGTCATGTGAAGCTAAGTGGGCTACACCACCTACCTCATTAGCTAACATAGAGGAGGGCAGCAGCAGCATCCAAAGGGCACACTTCTGAAGAGGATAACAAATAGTCGACCTCATGTGGGCCAAATATGATGACCTGCTGCATTACTTGAATTAATGACAGGATTTTACAAGAATAAATCCTGAATTCATTTTAAACTATGACAGAATTTTTTTGCTAAATGATTCTGGTCAAGCTGACATTTGTAGCTCTTTGGAAGATGTGCAAAGCAGAACACTTCCTGACACTCAGTCAATAGAGACTATTGCACCCAGACACTGTAGAACCCTATAGCCCCACTCCACTGCGCAGTAATCACAGACCAGCCAATAAATCATCCGCCACACTGCAGACTGAGAATCTGATCATCACTCATCACCAGGAAAATAACAAATAGCGGAAACATAATGAACTCCTGAGATGAGATGGAATCCAATTAAAACATATTATTTTCATTGTTCTTTGGCCCTGTACTGTAGCTTATTATGTTTGTGTGGTTTTCCAATTAAGTAACGGTGACAAACCTCCATCTCTCATCTTGCGGCCAGGAGTGGACTTCTTCAGCAGGCTGCGGCCAGAGCTGAACAGTGTATTGAGTTCATCTAGTGGGCTGGTAAGGGGTCTACCGTTGGCTGGGTTGAAGAGGAGGGGAGAGGAGGAACATGAGTGCGCCCTCCTAGGCTCCGGACGAGACGCTTTGACAGGTGAATAGGGCGGCGGTTTCCCCTGGGGCTCCACACCTGTCCTTTGTGATACTACATTTTTAGGAGAGTCTGAACTTAGAGATGAGGCTCGCGTCAAAGACAGAAAACTTGCATCAGGGGGAAAGGGGAAGTGTGATGGAGGTGGTCTGTAAGGAGGCGGGGGTACTGCGGGGGGAGGAGGTGGAGGAGGTGGGGTGAGCGGAGGAGTGGGTTTCTTTTCTGACATCAGGACGGTGAGGCTCGGAGAGGAGTCAGCCCGCTGGCGTGAATACTGAGGAGAAAGGGGGCTGTCTGGACCGGTGGCATAGTTTAAGTTAGTCTCAAAAACAGGAAGCTTCTTGACTTCAAGTGGGGTCAAAGGTGATTCATCAGAGGCTGGGGAGCAGGTAACAGGGGAGGGTGGGAACACCAGGAGGGGCGGGCGGTGAGGGAGGAGGTTGGGGAAGGGGGCAGGGATGTCACAGCTGCCGTCTTTGGCATGTTGTGCCATTGACAGTCCACTGTTAGAAGCTGACTGAGGTGGAGCAGGTTCCACGGTGCTGAGCACTGCGCCAGTGCGCCTGCTTTCACCTGTTTGAGGAAGTGACGTACTTAATCCCACAAGTCCCAAACTAAGGGCCTCAATTTTGGCAGCTTTTTTCATAACAGGGGCAGGTGGTCCACCATCATCAGGTAGAACATATTTCATCTCCTCATACACAGCCTCTGAGTCATTCAGATCAGGGCTGTCTGGGGGCTCCTGGAGACTCCTGGACCGGGAGTGGGACCCAAACATCTCTATGTACACGTCCTCTTCGTCCTGGCAGTGGAAAAGGCTCAGAGGAACACCCTGTGGAGCGTCTAAGGAGGCCGCTTTCTGCATCAAGCCACCAAAGCCCCCAGCACGGGAGAGCAGGGCCAGCTTCACATCGGCCGGCCGCAGCTGTTGGAGTTGAGGGGCCACCGCATTGATCTCCTCATAAGACCCCGAGAGCTTAGTGTTGGGACTGCGCTTAGGTTTCGGTGGTGGCACTTTCCTCATAGTGGTGTAGTCGTCGCTGTGAGGGCGGGGCTTGGCTGCAAGCAACACATAAAATGGATTTAAATTACAGTGCAGAGTATTTTTCACCTCTTCTCATGACATGAAAAATTTGAAATGCATAAATGAATAGCATGAATTGATTTCACCAGGGCAAGTGAAGCTCTAATCAATCAGGAATATTTTGACCATAACCTGGTCAAAACAGTCTTTGACTTTAAGGAGAAACTAAAATTGTTTAATATTGTGCAGGTAATTACTGCTAAAATAAAATAAATAATAGGGTTAAGAGTGTTATCAATACATGAATATATAAAAGAAGTAAATCATAAAATGACTAGAGCATAGATAGCCTATCACACATGTAACTAGCTTACTGTGCCTGTCAAAACCTTTTAAAGTGGTTCAAATCACTGACCATCTGTGCATGTGGAGTGGAGGTGAGGTACCTGAGGGGTCTGTGGGGGACAGCTGGGATTTGGGGGGGCTTCCAGCTGGTGAAGCGTATCCCTCTGGAGTGGGGCTCTCTTTGGCTGACATGGACAGCCCTGCACTCACTGCTTCATATGAAGCACTCAGGCGGGTGTTGGGGTCCCTCTTTGGTTTGGGAGGGGGCTGTTTACGCGGAGAGGACAGTCCTGTGCTGCCCGCTACATCCTCGGTAGGGTGCACTACCTGCTGCAGCGCCGGTTTGATGGGGGGGCTGCTGGAGTGTATCTCCATGGCGAGGGGGATTGGCACAGAACTGGAACGAAAGTGGCGTATGACTCGTGTTCCCCCATTGATGGAACCTTCTGAGACTTTTCCACTTTTTTCAACCATTCTGAAAAAAAAAAAAAACAGCAGTGATGAACAACAATGTATGGACCAATTCTGTGTTGAATGTAAATCCATATTTGAAAAGTATTGTAATGTAAGATATTAGAATTTGTGGGTGAAAAGAACATCTATCTCTAATCTAGATAGTGTTACTCTGCCTCAACTGTAGTGTCATGATTATTCACTAAGAAAGCCAATTGGGGGAATAAAGAGCAGAGAGATTATGCTAAATTTAATCTCCTTGCAGTAATTTGATAACATCCAGTTTGATATTTCCTTCACTAATCTGAGCAAGCCATCTGTTGGTTCTACGAATGCAGGCAGGGGGTAGGGAGGGTGTGGGCCCTGTACATTGAATGAGTGCATGGTGGGCACTGTGCATATTAAACAGCTGTGGTGATATTAATTACACTTTATGTTTTAGTGTTGGGGCGCATTTGGGGTTTTATATTATATTGGTTTATAGGAGCCTTTTGTACGGCAGCAGCCGCAGTACCTCCCATCCCAGTCCTCTCAGTGACACCCCCCTCTAGCTAAAGCTCCCAGGATCATGTCACCAGTCACAGCAGCAGATGTTGCAATACAAATCCTCTAAGGCTATACATTTCTTTTTAATCTCTTCAAATGCAGCCATTTTTATAGTATGGAATTAGTTAACAAATTGGATTGAGCAAAATACAGTAGAGAAAGTGCAAAAGAAATGATAAATGATTCATAATTTACAGTTTTTTTGAAAATGTATTCTAAATTAAATATTTATAGCAAATTTAAGTATTTAACTGTATTGTGTTTTTTTTACTGCTAGACATGGTGTTTGTCTGCCGTATATTAAAGGCGCATTGTGTAACTTTTGTGGTGTAGGGTTTGTCAAATGCTTTTCTCCATGTAGATGTTATTGCTTTGTCTGGAATATTTCACAGTATGGTATTAAACCCCTATCATCATGAAGACCAAACAAGACCAAGTTACAGGTAAAATTTGCGGAGAGGCGAGCCTGCTCAGTCACAATGCCTGTTTTTCTAGGTGTTTTTTAGCTGTAAAACCACCTGCAATAGAATAAATGTAAGGTAGAACTGTTAAATGTCATACTGTGGAACATTCCAGGCAGAGCAATGACATATCCATAGAAACAAGCAGGCGACGGGCCCCCAACCACGTTTAAGTTGCTCAAATTATTACACTTAAGCATTAGTAGAATACATTATAATGGCAACTAAAACACATAAATCTTAAAATTAGGTGAGTAACAAGACATTTATTAATGTTAATGAAAGATAATGCATTTTTCAAAATTAAGGTGATTTCTAAGCCCCTTAATGTGATAATGCTTACCCTTTTGTGTCAGCTTGTAGTGTTATTGAATTTTCCCTGGGTGCAATACATTACATGACAATGAGGAGAGGCAGAGATAAGGATAGCTTTCCATATGTGCAACACAATCCTTATACCATCTGATAATGCCGCTCATTATCTCACTATCCATCATGTGAGTTACAATTAAAAGCCTTAGGCACACAGGGATACAATGACAACATTCATCTCAAAATGCATCCGCACATACTCCCAAGTCAAGGCAATCGGTTTCTTCATAGAGTCATTAATTATAATCATGATAGAAATGCCATATTATCAGTATGGAAATGAAGGAGAAAAGTGTTTTCTTTAAACACGATTCACAACAAAGGCAATCAACACAATAGTAAGGCCAGTAAATTTGTATGGTTTAGATACAAGGAGGAGACAGAGACAGCTCAACTTCAATTATTTTGGAAATCAATTTAGAGAAAGGATGCAAAAGATAGGGTGAAATGGAGAATACTACTTATTTTGAATGTATTATTACTATTTATATTGCTATTATATTATATGTTGCTCTTGCTATATTTATTGTAATGTGTGAGCTACTGGGTCCAAATAATGTCTCTTGGCAATCAATCAAGTTTGTCCAAGTCTAAGAATAAACTATCACTCATGACTTTTCTTTTTAAGGCACATGCAAAATGATTTAACATCTGACAGTGATGCCAGAGTATTCTTCTAAGTTTTTAATCAGTAGGAGAACATTCTACCCTCATTAATGAATATGCAGGAATATATATTATATATTCTTTTACAAGTTTCTGACCTGCGCACAGGTTGCTCCTCCTCCTTGCCCACAGGCTCAGGCCTCTCTCCTAGGGGCGGGCTGCTGCTGAGTGCACTGACCACACCGTTGCCATAGCAGCGAAGGCGGTCACTCTCACGAGAAATATCAGCAGCATTTTGGATTACCAACTGGTCATAGGTTCGAAGCCCCATGTCTTCTGCCCCCTGGAGGAATTGCTGCAGTGTGCGCTCCTCTGTTTGAAGTAGAAGTAGTCGTTTGTGAGCCCGGCGTCTGGCAAGCCAACCTCGAACAACTGTGAAAAGATATAATCAATAAAGCAACGCTTTTAATAGCATTTTGATTAGTTACGTAACATTTTTTACCTTTTTGGCATGTAATTATCTTCTTTTGAAAGTGGTAGCAGCGATCATTCAGCTGATCCGCTTGCCAGTATCTCAGGAAAACTTTACTGCTGCCCATCTAAAAACACACATTTTGTTACTGAACCCTAAAGGAACAGCACATTGCCTCAAGAGACTGACAGCTTCTGAATCTGAAGAGAAAGTGTCTGGTGGAGCAGTAAAGAGAGAGTAAAGACGATTGGTTGAAGTAGGCTGGAGGTTTGCCATGTTAACAATCACCTCCTCAATGTAGGGGCTTTCTGAGCTACAACAGATGTCCCTCCACACCAGGTGCACTGCCATGGGGGTGACAGACGGACGGATGGATTGACCGATGGACACAATTCATTCCGACACATGCTACTTGTAAGACTTGTGTTCACTCAGTGTTCAATGCAGAGCTATACAGAAGTAGTCTGGAGAAGCATTGTTGAGGAGTGCTTGTGCTTGTGTGGGACAGGAGCACATAGTGACCTACGGGGGTCACAGGCTCAGACACAACAGCAGTCTGGCAGACAGGACAGGGGAGAGGGAGAGGGGGGAGATGCGCGATGTGAGGGGAATGATGATGAGGCAAGACAGCTGGAACGAGTTGTCAAAGATTCCATAGGATCTTTTTAAATAGCGGGTCAAGGATTAAGTCATTGGGCAAATCTGCTATTGATAGAGACAGAGGATAGGCAGGGCATAGGCTCACACAGACCTGCCATCCTTGGAGTTTGCACTGCTGAAGGACCGCGCGGCATCTCTCCTCTGCGGACAGCTTCTTCTTGTCGCCCATAGTGGGAATAACAAGGTCTTTATATCTAAGAAAAACACAAGGAAAGCATATGCAAAGTGAACAACAACTCTTACGTTCAGTTGAGCTGCTGTGCATAAACCCTATTTTCACTGAAACAATTCAGTTCAAGAGGTCAGTGGGGTCATACAGCAGAGCGCAGGGCAGCATCTGTTCCTATTGGTGTTGCCCTGGACAACCGCTGCCGTGAGCGCTGAGCTGGACGGAGACAGCGGCTGGAAGTCTGAGTCTGGGATTTGAGCGGGTAAAAGTGACCAAGGGCAGATTTTTTCCCAGCTAACATATGTGATAAATATAACACAGTGCAGCTTGCTTTATAGAGTGTATTTTAAGGATACAGATATGTTTTTCTTCTGTCATTAAATTTCCAAGGTCTCCAACAAGTTTGCAATAACAAGTTGTTCTCATACATTCTCATACATACATCAGCTAAACTGACTAAGGTCATTTCAATACAATTACAGCGCACTTATGCAGTATATAATCTTTTAAATAAAGGAGACAAACAAATAATGCAACTCAGAAAACAATAAATTCAAATACTCTATGAGAAGAAAAGTTTAAAGTGCTCATGTTATGCTACTGAAAACACTCTGTTCCACCTTGTGATGTCATGTGGTATTATAGGAAGTGATTCACTGTGTTTTTAAACTGCATACATTAGGATCATTTGAATGATTTCAACCCTGGAATTTCCTATCTCTACTAAACTAAAAGTAAAAGTTAGCTGCTAACTTGAAACACAGACAAATAATAAAGGATTACTCAAACATGTGCAAATGAAACAAAACCCAACTCTGGGGGTGTTTTTGATGAAGTAACAACATTATAACAGTCTATTAGTTCACAATAGTCAATTTTGTGTAACACAGGACCTTTAATAAAAACAAACTCTCTGTCTGCCATTTAAACAGTTGCAGTTTAAGCTTGTTTTTATAATAAATCTGAGGACATGGTTTGTAAACTAAAGTAATAAATAATAGAATAATTCAAAGGTGTGACTAAATAAGGCATGACTAAATAAACAATATGAACAATGTGTACCAAATCCATCCGGGTGACTAAAGTGAATTGTCAGTTATCACCTCTTTAATTTTCAATAAGTAACATCCGATCTGGTGACACATGTGATGAGACAAACATAAGAGGCAGATGACTGGAAACATAAACCAAGGGAGCTGTCAATAGTGAGGGCGTGAGTGGCGCTGATGTGGCCCGTGTTTGATTTGCTGTAGTGGGGTCTGCCTGAACTCTGCCTCACCTTCTGTCTGTATGGTAATGGCAGCTCCGTGGACCGCACATGCTGCCTCCCGGGCCCATAAAACACAAAAGGGACTCTGTAAAGTGCTGACCTTCCCAGTGAGGATATGAAAACCATCGATGCTCCCTACTTTTACAAGCCCCAGGGGGGCGGCATGCAGAGTCAAAGAAATGAAATAACTGCTTTGATAACAGTTTAAATGGAGACTGGCGGGACACTAAAGTCTGGAGTGAGTAGAGTTACGGAGTGTCACAAAGGTAGTAAAGGTTGGACGTAGGAATTTAAACCAGCCACTTAAGCACAGAGGCTGCTCCTGTCTGTCACTGCCAGTCTCAGCTGCCATATCCTTACAGTGTGGCACTGGTGAAGACCACATTCAATTGACCTGTTATATGTTGTTACTTCATCAAAAACATACCTGGAGTTGTGTTTTGATTCATTTCATTCATTCATTCATGAGGTAACATAATAAGACACATCAGAAAATGGTGTAATATGTATAAGACTATTCACAGTTTTAAGTCTGGACTTCCATTTCCTTATGAAGAAACAAAAAATTTCATTGAATTTCTGATCGATAATATCACGACTGTTGTTTGGGGAATATGCCAGATCAGAATATTGAGTATATCATCTATAATTAAAACTACTACAAAGAGAAGAAATGTTTAGTGTAATGTCCCACACAAGGTAATATTTCAGCCATTTTCTGATCAGTTTTATAGTCCATTCACACGTTTGGTCTGAACCTTAACCAAGACATTTACAGGGACATTTTAGCATGTTTTGGATGCATTAATAAAATATAATTTGAATATAGTTTGATTTAGATCATCTAAAAGAGTAGATACAAATTTTTATCAATTCAATATCGCTGGTTATTATTTTTGTAAAAGTGCAAGCTCAGACTTCTTAACTACATTTTTCACTCTCTAAATATATGAGATGTAATACGAACCATCTTGAAATGGATATAAAAATAACTGGTATGTACGTGTGGGGCCAGTGGTGACATGTCCAATGAATACTGATATCCTTTTCATCTGTTTGATAACAATAATGACACGAGCAGTTAGATTTACAGAAACAAGTTCAAGAGGCAGCATTTGACCCCACGCATTGGCAGAAAATAAACCTGGCCACAAAACACATAGCGTATCATAAAAGACAAATAAAAGCAACAGTAAAATAGATTTCCTCATAAATCACTCGGGTTACCAGGACACTAATGTAATTCGCTCGGGGCGGTCACTCTGGCTCAGAGAGGTGGCCTGCATGGATCCAGCGTGTGCCTGTGCGCTCATGTTTGTGCCTGTGACGATATCATAACCTCCAGATTAACAGCTGATTTATTGGCCTGTCATTTCCATTAGTCAAGAGCCAGGGCCTTTTGGAAAAATGACAAATGAACAAAAGGAGAGAAAATAAAATTGATATAATACAGTGGACATCTCCTGGGCGATCAAAGCTTCAGTGAAACTGAGTTGAGAAAAACAGTCTTCCATCTGTTTTTGAGTAATTTGAGCGGCTGCTTTGGGTCTTTGGCATGATAATACTTGAACAATGTAGGTATTTTGAATACCTCGTCAATTGTCAATTGAGTTAGATTTCAGAGTTTGGCCGCACAGCATAATAACATACACAAGCATGTGAAGCTAAACCATTTAGTGGGTATTTTGAGAGATAAATGTATGAATAATTATGTAGATGTTAGTGCATGCTGGGTGCAGTTTCTATCTATTTTTTATTTAGTGATTTTGTATTGATTTATAAGATTATTTATAGGATATATAAGGTATTGAGATTCACTCATATAAGGAATCATAGATTTGTTTTTTATTTAACATTTACTTAACCAGGAAAGTCCAACTGGGATGACTAATCTCTTTTTCAAGGACGTTCTGGCCAAGACAGCAGCAAATATCAGTCAAAACATTCATTTTAGACAACCACAAGAATTTGTTGGCCAATAACAGTTACAAAATAAAAATCTAATTTCAAAACCTTTTAGCATCAATTTAAACTGATGTATTTGAACCAGTTCTTTTAGTTTCCAGTTTTTTTGTAAATTATTCAAGGTTGTGGGTGCAGAATACTGAAATACTGAAACATACTTATTATGCATGTATGTCCACATATGTGTCCCTCATCTGAAACGCGTGGGAGATAGCAACTCTTACTAGAAAGCCAATGGAAAAAATAAGTCTTGTAAAATATAGTAACAGTTGATTAAATAGGCCTGCCGTTAGCTCTACTGAATGATGCCAGGCCAAGGCAGTGGTTAGGGTTTCCTGTATGGCAATCAGCTGTCTCTTGTGATGCTATGTTATCTACTGGCCACACGCATTGCTAACAAAGAGATTAACCCACGCCTACTACACAACTCTGTGACACTGCAATGCTCATATACTGTACGCTGAGAGATAGGGCCACAAATGTTGGCTCAACCCTCACCAGGAATCTCCATTACAACTTTAACAATACACTGGCTGGGTCTAGTCGAAATATTCATCAGAAACACAAAGCAGATAGCAGAGATGGACGCCATTCTATTTTGAAATCCTGTAAGAGTTTAATATGTTTTCTGAGATTTAATTCACTGTGTAGGGCCAATACTGGTTGTGTGTGCTATGCTATTGTGAAAGGTTAGGGAAAATCTCCACCTTGATTTTACAATAAAAAAAGAAGAGTGAAAAAAAAAAAAGAGTAAAAATATGCTTTCAATTATCATTATTTGTGTTTGTATGTGTGTGTGTGTGTGTGTGAGTGTGTGTGTGCGTGTGTGCATGTGTGTATATATGATGATGGCATGTGGATCAAAAACATGGAGGCGTGGTGGAGATGTTTACAACAGTCTAGTGGAAACTTTTGGGGATCATGCGACAAGCCTTGTCTTCCCTTATTATCTGCCAGGAATGTTCACTTTAATCCCTTTATCCTCAAAAGGAAAGACAGAGGATGGAGGGATAAAAAAGGGGTAGGCAGTCTAAATCTTATAGTGCAAGAAATCAAACAAGGAAATAGACATTGTTTCAAGTGGTAAATAAAACAATTTTAAGAGAAGTATTGTTGCAAATATGTTGGGAGGATATGAGTCAACATTAGATCTGACCTTTTGGTCTATCCTCTAGCTATATCGAGATGTTTATGTCCCAACTTGTATTAAATCATGTTATTTACCTGCCTTTTCACTCTTTATATGCAAACCTCTAAGCACTCAGAAACAATTGACCTTTTCACAAAGAACAGTTACAGTGCCACGGGGTAACCATTTGTGTCCTTATCTGACTTTACTAAGTTGGTGTCTGTGTGCCAGCCTGTACCACTGAAAATACTCACTACAATGCGTTTATTTGGGAAAATAAATGCTAAATGAATAAATTGGTTAATGTATTCCAAGGCAATAAGTAACTTTCTTCTTAGCATCCAAACTTGTTAAACAATGATGAATTATAGTAACTGAAGTAACTGGAAACAAAAGCTATTTTTATGCTGCTGAGGCTGTGACACAATGTAATGCATAGTCTAAAAATGACTTCTAATCTAAGAAGGGGATTATACTCTATTAATGTAAGTAGTAAATATTCCCAGATGGGCAAGAAAAAACATCTTGGATGGATTTAACTTAGATCTTTTTTCCCCATTGAAAAGCTGCTCTTGCTTAACAATACAAAACAGACTAACTGAAAACAAAACAAAAATCAACATTGACGATTATTAATTCTGAGTCCAGGGCAGAGAGACCTAACACATACCCCACTGGTTAATATGTCTGTTAGTTTGACAAGAGAAATGTGTTTCATCATCTGCAAAGGACTCCCATCAGAGACGAAAAGCCATGGAAGGTCATTCTGTGCTTCTGACAAAAAAGGGTTGCTGCGACTTGTCAGTTGTGCCATTTCTGTAAGTATAGCAGGTGCCGCACTGTAAGATGAGTGTGCATTTATGTTGTAAAAGCACATTAATATTCCATTACAGTTTCAGATCACTTTGATGCTAATGTGATTTATGTATGTGACTTGAACTGTAATGTAAGTGAAGTATAGAGTCACAGCAGTATATCATTAAACATCTAAGAGAAAATGTCAGATCAAATAGTCCCGAATAAGTATTGAGTAATAACTGTGCCAAGTAGTAACTTTGGTTAGCTAACACCTCACCTGCTAAGAAAGCCCAGGAAAGACATGCGGACAGGGTAGCCGTAGCGGATCATGCGCACCATCTCCAGCACCCCAATGTACTGCAGCTGGGCGGACACATGAAGGCTGTCAAAGGTGTCTGGCTGACCACTGGCGTTGGGGCGGACACACTCCACAAAATGAGGAGTACAAGACTGCAGCTTACTGATCAGCTCTGACAGGGAATTCTACAAGAGGAAAAGGAGAAGAAAAAAAGTACATATTTTCTGACAATAGGCATACTCTGACCATAACAACAAAAACGTTTGAAAATGAATTAAACTTTTTTTTTTAACAGAGAAAAATAGGAGGACTCTGTGTGCCACTAGGCCATGGGATAACCATCTATGTCCTTATCTGACTTTACCAAGTCAGTGTCTTTGAGCCAGCCTGTCACTGAAATACTGAGCAAATGGGTTTATCTCGGAAAATAAAATAATAAATTGCTTAATTTATTTCAAGGCAAAAAGTCATTTTTCCCTAGCAAACAAACATGTTAAACAATTAAAGAATAACTGGGGTAACTGGAAACACAAGTTATTTTTTGCTGCTGTGACACAAGGTAATGCATAGACTTCTAATCTAAGAAGAGGATTACAGTCCATTAATATAAGTAGTAAATATTCCCAGATGGGCAAGAAAAAACAATGTAGCCTAGATGACAAACACTGTGAAACCTGCCTCAGATTACTAAATGTTGTTGCTTTGCATGTTTGTTGGACCTGTCTGTCAAATAAACATAAAATGCACACTTAAAATAATTTTAAACATTTATAAATTAAATAATAAAATGAATTGTGTGAAACAGTGATTGCAACTTCGGAAAGTTGAAGAGAATAGTTGAGTAAGAAAACTCAGAAAATGTGTTATTAAGTTGTCAGACGGTGGCTCCAAGGTCACTCAGATAGCCAAGCATGTAAACACTTGTATGTGTGTTCCAGTTGACGTCAAAGCACACTCCACACTCCTCTAGTACAATGGCTGACACCTCAGCCCTGAGCGTCACTGCAGCACTCACTGCAGGGTCCTGCCTCCAAACAGGCGCATGCACACATGGCTGTTGTTCATTGTTCATTCATTCATGAGGAGGGCCTAGTCCAGCGTCATTCTTCAGCCTCCTCTCTTCCAGTCCCTGAGGAAATTGTCGACCACAAGCCCACAACTGATTGTGCAACACACAGAGCTCATTCAGTCTGAAGGTACAGGCCGAGTAAACCACAGTACATCCCTCATGCGTCACCAGCAACTGCTCAAATGCTCTTTGAAATGTTTGTTTTAGAGCAACCAAATGTATTATCTTCCAAAAACATGTGTGCAAAATGTATCTATATTTATGACTCTTGTTTAAATCATCATCATCAAAATTAAATAAAATGATTTAAATGTAGTGTTCTCATATAATTACTTTCATACCCTCATCTGGACAGCCACTGTGATGGGCCCACAGCGCTCAAGCCTCTGGAGAAATGAGCTTGATCCTTTCTTCTTCAGCATCTGAAATGACAAAAAACATCTGGTCAGCTGTGTTTGAGCCAGATCGCTGTCCACATACTCAAATAGTATTTTGAATTCTACAATGTAATTTTTGCCTTTGTATAATGCACATGTGGCGACTGCAATATTACTTAATGTTCCCATATAAGGCTGGTGGGACAGAGGTGAGAGGGGGCTTATGTAAGCCTTTGCACTCGATGGCTAATGAGCCACAGAGATGTCAGGCAAGACCCCCAGAGGTTACACAAGCACCCTCCCCAGTCTGACTACAGCAACCTGCATTCACAATAAGACTCATAAGGAAACTGTACTGTGTCAAGAGAATACATAAACGCAATGTTGATTTAAACTCTTTATGAATGAATTGGCTCTTATTTTGTCTATGATCATTTTGCTCTTGAGTGATTGTTTTTGTGTGTATTGCTGTATTTGATATTCATTTTAGACATGTTCTTCTGTGTGACCATACCTTGCTAAGGTCATGATATCTCCGGGGCTGTTGGTGGACACTACAGGTGGACACTACATGAGCTGAGGGCGTCTTATGGAGCAAAAGGGCCGCTCTGGAGCCCCTCAGGCCCACATGCCCCTGTGCGGCTGGGACCAAGGACCCCGTCTGCGTCAACTTGGACTGGAAGAGCTGCTGTACTAAGACACTCTCACTGGCTGCCGGGCACAAAGCACATAAACACGTACTGAGAGGGAGGATGAGAAGCAAAGGCATTGGTGGGATTGAGGGGTGGAGGAGGAGAGAATGAAAAAAGCTGAGGAAATGGTGACATAAACAAAAGAGTAGAGTGGTTGCAGAGGTTAGGGGAAGGTTTAAGGTGGGCTGATGGCTTAGTCATACTGCACACACTCAAAGTAAGCATTACTTATAACAAAAGGAGGTGGACCGGGCCTCTCAGACACGTGGATCTTTCCATAATAACAACAATGAACTCATTCAGAAAGGCAAATGTGTGTCAAAGCGTGCATGTGGCTCCGCTCTCAATAGCAGTGAGAGATGGGATGAAGATGGCTGCACTACCCACTTACCAAGAAAAACAAACTAGCCTAGTCATTTAAGAAGCTAATTAGACACAGATCAGGAATAATAGCATATTTACATTTAAAGCAATTACCGCAAGCCTCAAAATGTAGTGTTACATAGATTTCCCTGTCATCAATTGGATCTGAGTTTGAAACCTAAACGGCAGTGGGATTAGTGCCATAAGAAGAAACAGTGTTGCATAAGTGTGAGTGTATAAAGATGAAAGCCTGTGCAGTGATGAGGCTCAGAGGTGGAGGGACAACAGCCAAGTGAGTAAAGGGCTAACGTTAGCCGATTAGCCTCATCATGGAAATTATAGCAATTAAGCTGCTAGACGCAAGGCGAGCCTGGCAGCCACACAACGGCCGCCTGTGTCCTACTGGCCACAACAGCCCACATCTGGCACCGTCTATAGACAATATACACACAGCTCGCTGTCTGCTGCATATGGATGAAACCCTCTCATAACGGCACGGGCAAAGCTGCACAAAGAGTGGTTCTGTGTGTTACGAGTTTAGACAAGAGAGGATCTTTGTGATGGAGTGTTTTGACAGGACAGTCTGCTCATATGTCTCATTCACTGGTACTTACACTTCATTGTAAACAAGAGATTCTGAGGAAGAGAGTCCTTGTTTCTGGTTAAGGATCCAGTGAGGTCATACGAAACCTACAACAACACATTTCATAAGAGCTGTTTTTTCAGTAGTGCATACAAAAGACTGAGTGATCACCATAAGTAATGGTAAATATAAAATTATGATATAATCTAATCACATCTTGTCCTACAGACGCACCTGTCCAGCGTAGTGTTTCACAGTGAAGGCGGGGCCCTGGTCTTTCGGAGGGGGGTTTCCATTGCCATCTTTAGTAGTGAGAAAGAGCCCATGTGTGGGACTGGAGTCCAGCTGGGCAGACAGCCTTTTGTACAGAGTCTGCTCTGCCGGCCGCAAGCTCTGACTCTCCTCGTCTAACATCCACAACAGCCCCTGAGGCTTCTGCAGAGGAGCACAAAGAAACTACAGGCAAGGTTCACAGGGGCAACAATAAAACAACAATACAGTGTACAGTACCTTATATTTGTTTTCTAAGATGACAAAATATCATATGAGAGATGCTGAAACTAGTGGGGTTAATATAGTCACAATATTGCAGTTTCCGCCAATTGTAAAATGTAAAATTAAGTTAAGTTAATTAAGTTCAGAACCTGATTTAAAGCTTTTTATTGAACCATCAAACAAAACGAAAATCAAAAAGCCCAACGCAGACACCTCTTTAGAGCTCCTATTCCTAGGGGCCATTAGTGTAAAACTGGACCATAGGGTCAAAGAAGACGTAAGTCTGTGACCCAAAGTACCTGCAGAAAGAAGTCGAGGACAGCGGGCTGGTTGCTAGGGGAGCAGGGTGTTTCTGTGGCGATGCCCTCCTGCTGACACTCGGCCTGTTCCTGCTGGAATAGCACCTCTGAGACGTACTGCCTCAGACGCTGATTGGTCATGTTCACACAAAGCTGGAACGCACACAACAACAAAACAATTAACATGTTTCCCAAAAGGAGGGTAACGGAAATTTGGTTGAAACACACAGAATAGTAAACTATGTTAGCAGTACGACCCAAATTACAAAATAACCAATTATACCAAGAGAATTTCAAACAGACAGTAAGAAGCACAATTTTTTGGGGAAAAGATTTGTAATACAGGTTTAAAAACTAGAATACTATTCAAGGTGCAGATTGTAAACTACTCCAAAAAGAGAGGACTGAATATGAACTAATCCACAAGAATCCCACAAATTTCATTTTTGTAGAGGTCTAAACTATGGCTACAACAAGATTTGCAGAGGACAACTGCAGCTTTTGCAATATGAAAATTGACACAACTCAGACTGTGATTTTAATTTGATTGCAATATATTGTGCATTCCTAACAAACAGGTAGTGGGACAGTGCCTTCCTACCTGGAGATACTTGTGAACTCTCCCTGACCCAGAGTCCCAGTCACAGAAAAACTGAATCTTTTTTGTTTTTTTGTGTGAAGCTTTGGAGCCAGGGCAACACTGTCACTTGTCACACTGATGCAGGGCGTAAGTGCTGAATATGATCTGAAACAACACCACTGCCGAGTGAAGCAGCAGGTGGGATTAAACTTTCTTTGAACCCCCCCATCCTCACCAACTGGAGAGGGCATCGTGCCATTTCAGTAATTCACTTTGCTATGCATCTGTCTCATTATAGCGTGAAGTGTAACGTGAAGTACTATTATATAATCACCAACTTGTACTCAACTTGAACTTGGCCTATATAACGGTACTCATCAAAAACATACCTGGAGTTGTGTTTTGTTTCATTCACACATGTTTAACACACATATCCTGCATATTTAGACTGCATTCTTCATGTTTTTGAGGATTTTTCTAATTTTTATAACATGGCTTGAAGCTCACAAGAATAATTTTTGAGTAATGTAGGATCTTTAAAATGGAAGTAAAGTAAAAAAGAAAATAAACAAAGCATGGTTAAAAATATATGAAATGTCTGTTTTATATTTTAGAACATGTTATTGCTCAACTTTCCAAAGTAAATTACTCTGAGACATGCTGTGCAGTCTAGTGTCCCTCAAGATGAAAATGAATAGGCACCAATCACATAGAACCACACATACTGATACTGCATTGTTTTATTTTTTCTGCTGTTCTTTTTTATCTAACATATTCTTGCTTACTTTGTTAAATCCTGCTTTCTTCGTGTATGTGTACAAATCATGAACCCATTATGTGAGACCATCCATTAGCTCATATATCACAATAATCTAATCTTTTTGTTTGAGACAAGTGTTTTTCTATCTGTCTGTTCAGTCCATTGTACGCATGGTCCCAGCAGGTGGTTGATTGAGTTAGCTCATTAGCAGAGTGCTGAGCAGGTACAACACATTGGTGACAAACAGATCTCTAATTAACAAACATTAATGACCACCATCTCACAGTGAAGGGTGCCGGCTGCCTGTCTGTGTAAACATGTCAGGAAAAGAATCTTTGTTTGTTATTGCAATTATTATTCAACCACATGTGTCTGATGTGCAGTATGGAATGAATGATCACTACCATTGTTTAACAAGAAATTAGGAAGAAATAAAACGATCACAGTTAATACGTTTTATAGTTTTAAGTTTTGAACATATCCAGCTAGTATTTATTCAGTACAGTTGTTTTTATTGCTCGAAAATACAATAATTCCTTCTGTGAATCCTTCTGTGGGTCTGCGACTCTCCACAGATCTGAATTGTAATGTTGCATAGCGCTGTTATCTGCTTTTTTTCATCTTTACTATGTAATTGTAGACAGAGCAATAACATTTCCATCGAGGAAAGCAACTGGCGAACCCTCCACTAGAAATGTTATGCAGTGCACCTTTAAGTAAAGTAAGTAAATAATACATGCTGGACATTTAGTTTTATACATTTTGTGTATTTTTGTAGGTGCACATTTAGCTGCATTTTGTAACAATGTCTAAAAGGGGAGTCAAATAGCAATACTATGTCATCAGACTTAAACGAATAGCTATGGAAATCATTTGGCTCCCAATGTCTTTTCTTGCAACCCTCTGAATTCATCCAGGCTTGGCACTTGGCACATTAATACACCGTCTCATGATCTCTTTTGAATTGCTTTTGGATCATTTTAGATGATAAATCTCGTAATTTTCCATTCATACCATCTAATAACATCCCATTGACTGCCTTGTAGAACTTTATTATTCATCATTTAACAACAGATTAAAAAGTCCCTCTCACTTTCCCGTTCTGGCATTTGATTTGCTCCTAACCTTTCCACGACACTAAAAGGTCATGTAGAGTTTCACATCCACTCAGACTGAAGCACATGCAGAGGTAGACTCAGGCCACGCGCGGGTCTCTGTTTCACACGCTGGCACTGTGACCAAAGTCAAACATACTCAAGCCTAAATAAAAGCACCGCTGATTCCACAGGGAGAGTGTGTAAGCTGGGAGTAGCAGCATAAGCACTCAGCCTCATGGACACGATGAATGGCCTGATTTACACCCAATGACACACACACACAAATACGGACACAAATGGACACACACTCACAAATACACTAACAAACACATATAGTATACAGAATGAGTACACACACACGCGCACACATCTACAGTGATATACAGACTGGTGGGCCTGATCCCTGCTGCTCTTACAATAGAAGAGTCTATTAAGAGTGCATGCTTGATGAGCACATGACAGAATTATAGTCCGGAACAGGTGAGCAGCAATGAGCTACACTATGTACTCTATAAAAAAGGATGCAATGCAAGCATTTTGTAGGAACCAGGAGATAAAAGGAGGTAAGACCAGCACCAGAATTACAAAAAAATCTACAAAATTATTAAATAGAAAATATCACAGTATAATAGTACAAAATTATCACTGAAACACATTCACCTTTATTACATAATTTTTTAAAATAAACCTGGTAATAAACTTGGACTAGATCAGGACTAGAACAGGACCAGATCAAGTGCCAATCAGGACTCCCACTGGGCTCAAACCAGAATAAAATGTGAGGCTTCCTTAAAGGTGCACAATGTAACTTTTAGCCTTGTAACCTTGCTTTGTTTTCCCTGAAATGTACCACAGTATGGCACTATACTTGCTTATTATTTCATTGTAGGCATTCTATACAATGAAACAATATCCATAAAAAGTATACATTCTACTGTAGCTGGGCCCACCTCTCCAAAGATCAGACCTGTAACTTGGCATGGTGCTTGTCTCCATGGAAATAGATATGTTTAATATCATACTGTGAATGAAAAGTTACACAGAGCACCTGTATTTTTTGGCTCCCTTTTTGTCTTTGGTTAATGTAGTTAAAAAGGACTTGTAACATTTTCTTTTAAACACTTCATACCTTAATACGTTACCAGAATATTTCACAGATAAGGTTAATGCTACAGAGTTCACAGTGGCCCCAGACTCAGGGAAACAAACACAAACAATAGATTGAGGGCAGCCAGTTCCTCTGAAATCTCTCACACAGGCCGTCATTGTGTCAGGCCTAAGTTCATCTGAGGACAAGAGAACATGACGCTACACCCACCACAGACCTCACCTCATTCATTAGAACTAAACATGGAAATAATTCTGCAGATATCTCAACAATCTGATTTAGATTAGCTGGAATGCCACAACTGAGACTCTTTTATTAGTTTTAGATAACAGTTTAAAGGTACTGTATTACACAAGATTAATTCTTGTGAGCTTTAAGCCATGTTAAAATGTTGTTACCTTCTCAAAAACATACCTTGAGTTGTGTTTTGTTTCATTCACAAATGTTTGAGTAATCCTTTATTATTAGTCTGTCTACATTTAAAAAACTTAAAATGCTCTGTTCCACATTGTGATGTCATAAAGTGTTAGTTTTCAAGTTAACAGCTACCTTTTACCTTTTGTTCATGGGAGATTGGCATTTCCAGGGTTGAAAATATCCAAATGATTCTAATGAAGGTGTATGGAGTTTAAAAACACAGTGGAGCAGTTCCTGTATTACCACATGTCTTCCCTTTGAGAGAAGAACTGAGCCTTAATATGCAGGGTTTGTGTGTTCAACATGTGTGAATGAAACAAAACACAACAGCAGGTATGTTTGTGATGAGGAAATAACATTATAACATAGATCAGAAAATAGAGTAATATGGGACCTTTAAGATAATGTTGACAGAGGGGATGTGAAAATAGTGCCCTACCTGCTCAAAGCCATTTCGCTGAAGATCTTCATAACCAAAAATGTCCAAGATGCTGATTTCTAGAGCAGGATTACTATGATGAAAGTGCAAAAAGTAAAACATATTAAGTTTCAGTCATAGCATGTCTGTAATGCGTAGTTTGTAACATCTGTAGGGAGTGCCATTGTGAAATTTATGACATAGTATTGGTGGGGTTCCTGTGTAAACAAGTGAAGCACAAACACATTCCTGAAGCTGAGGTTATCTGACTGGGAGTGATAAGAGTCCAAGCATCAACAACATCAAGGATCCTATGGCCTTGTTAGTGTTAAGGGCCTCCCTATAAACCTTGGCTGGGTCCTCCATCTCAAGCATGTTGTTATGTTTTTCCATTTCAGTGTTCAGTGCACATACCTATTGGGTCATGTCACAAACTATTACAAGACTCTGCACTAAAATATGTGACAGAATTGGCTGTCACCACCCTTCTGTGTGCTGACTGATATATTTCATTGATAGGATTTCTGAATAACATTTCAACAATCTAAGGTTACACAGAACCATTGGCTGAGTAAGGTAAAAAAAACAGACACAAAGACATACAAGTACAAAAAGAGGGACACATACTCAGTGCTGTCCTCCTGGCCCTGTAGGTAGTCATTGATACAGTTGACCAGATAACCGAAGAGGCGTCCGTAGATGGCCTTGGCCAGTTGGTCTCTGTACTGCTCTGATATTTCAACTGTGTGACGCCGAGTGATTACATCACCTACAAACAGCAGTATTGTAATAGAATTTTATAGTTGGAAATTTACATTTGCAGATTGTAATTGATATAAAAAATTAAAATGTTGTTTACACAGTATGCAAATGATAAGACAGTTCATTGCCATTTGGTATAGTATTTTACTATAATAAAAGACGCTGGCCAAAAGGAAGTGTTTCTTTCCAGCAACTGCAATATAACAAATCTAATAAACATGTTGTTAAATTCTACAATGTTTTGTAAATGTTGAAAGGTTTTGCAGTTTTCTCATGGGGACAATAATTTTGAAAAAACCTTGCACAATTACTGCCATAAATTGGAGGAACACACTAGGTTCACATCTGATTTGGGTGAGTTTGCTGTAATGGTTAGTTCTAAACTAAACAGAATTGTTCAGAAGGTAAACCTCTACATTGGACTAAAAGTACTAGCATCTTATCAGATAATGAGTAGTGATTGAAAGTGTTTTACAGTAATGTCTCCTGACAATACACAGCAAACAAATCAAAACAAGTGTTATGAGTGGGTGGCACCCAGGGCCGTGTTATTGCAGAAGTTGTGGGAACATACCTTTGAAGTATTGAACATCAGAGGTGAGGGCGGTACTCAAGTCATTGGAGCACACCTGCAGCATTCCAGCAACTGCAACAACAACAGTTATAGGTATAAACAAAAAGAACATTCTGATAAAATGACTTAAGTACTTCTAAATCCAAAATAAGAGCTACTTTCTCTGGCAGCTATATTAATCATACTCTCTTACCCAAACATAATAAACTGTGTATTGGGTGTGACTTCTGCTCCAGGGGACTATGTACTTCAAAGTCCTTTAGAGGTGATCTGCATCAAACCCGCATAACAAGAAGTACTATAGTTCTTTAGGTTCCTATTTCATTTTGCTTCACTTATTTCCTGTTGTGAGGACGTGTTTGATTGCGTTAAACAATACCACTTGATAGAATTGCATGATTAAATATGATCACATGTTAAGCAAATAATAGTGAATGTAATCATTACGTCACTTTACAGCTAATTTTAAAAATCCAATTTACCCAACAGCAGAGCACATGAAAACAGGTTAGACTCATGTACAGATTGTTCAAAATTGATTGATTAAAGAGTGTGCGATGGTGACTCATGGGTCCATTTCTGAGCACAGAGCTGCACACAAACAGGTGACACAGGCCCAGAAAGCACTGCTGACATCACCTGCCGTGACACTGCTCTGACAATGACCGGCTCTTTCCCATTCAGCCGCTGATGTCATTTGTTTACTGCCTCCCAAAGGTCAGAGGTCACAGGGAGCACATGTAGCAAGTTGCATAATGAAGGAGAGACAGAAAGGGAGAGAGACAGAAAGAGAGAGAGAGAGAAAGAGAGGAGAGAGACGGAGAGTGGGAAAATAACATCGAGGGTAATGGCTGGGAAAGAGCGTGTTCCCCTCAGTGATCTCCCGTTACTATGGTTACGTTTTTGGAGAAATATGGCCCAGCGAACAGGTGACTCTTTGGACTGAGATGTGAGCTGGCTAACTGCCCGGTCTCCAGTGGGATAACAATAACAGATACAGAGGCACAGGCGAGGTACAGAGAGGCACAGTTAGGCCCTGTAGATTCAGACAAACTGTGACTATTTCAAAATGTCCCTGGCTTCTGAAAATAATAACTTCATGTAACACTATCAAGAGATATTTTAGTCCATGTGGTGACAAAGATAGCAATGCAATGTTACTTTCCAATTTAAAACTTTGCAAACAGCTGTTAAACGCCCACTACTTTTAGCTCTATAGTCTTCTCAATAATAAAACTGTCCATTGCTTTTTTTTTACTAAAGTCAATATCCTTTTAGGAACACAATGTGAATGTGTCAGTATGTGCATTGACACTTACATACATTGTTAAATTATATTCAAGGCATCTTTCAACATTCCCCATATTGTATCAGTATTGACATCACAATGTTCTTAAGGCCAGTAACATGTAATACAGATGAGGGAAGCTAGAATTTATGTTGTTAAAATGAAGATTATTGTGATTATATAGTGAGTTCTTGGGCCTTGTCACTACATAAATTTTCAAGTTCAGCATTTGTTTACTCATGAGAATACAACATAATAATTTGGGAAATCTGTCTCTTGCCCCCATCTGGGAGTATGATATTATCCCACTCTAGAAACTGAAAACCACCACCTATTTAGACATTAAAATCCTGTTATATACAGAAGATTAAATGTCCAGTGTGACTAATGCAGTCTTATAGTCATGATCACAGGATCCATAACCGGAGCCACGGAGGAGCTAATGGTGACAGCAGCACTGACCCCTGTCCAGTAGCGGCAAGTCCGACGGGACTGCTGTATCTGCATCTGTCACAGCTTTGAAGTGCACATCTCCCAAGTGCAGAACAGCGGCCAACAGCGATAACACAGACTCCACCTCCTAAGACCACAACAACCACACATCAGTTGTTAAAGATCCTATATTACACAAAATTAATTCTTGTGCGCTTTTAGCCATGTTATAATGTTGTTACCTCCTCAAAAACAAACTTAGAGTTGTATTTTGCTTCATTCCCACACTTGAGTAATCCTGGTTTATTAATCTGTCTACATCTCCAAAACTCAAAGTCAACCTTATGATTCTAGTAAAGGTGTTTTAAGTTTAAAATCACACGGTGGAATTGGGTGTTTTCTGTTTGAGAGAAGAACTGAGCCTAAATATGCAGGGTCTGTGTGGTAAACATGTGTGAATGAAACACAACTCCAGGTATGTTTGTGAGGAATCAAAATTGTAACATAGATCAGAAAATAGCGTAATATGGGCCCTTTAATGAATGATGATGATGAAGAAACACACTAACATTATATCACATCTAGTCCTGCACAGTGGTCAGTGACATGTGTAGTCCTCCCTTCTGGCCTCTGTGTTGCAAGCTGGATTCCCAGTTTATACAGTTTCCTGAATGTTTCCTTCCACTCTACACCCACATTTCATGCCCTAATATACTGTCAGACAAATCTTTCATGGTCTACACAAAGTCATATCTAAACAGTATGGAAGAAGTTTTGTACAGTAAATTGTGAGGTGATGATTTTACCTTATTAAATTATATTATCATTCTTTTAAACTATATTTCTGAGCTGACTGGATGTCAAGTAAATTTTTTTCAAATAAAAAAACAATGATATCCTTAATCAGACATTTTTTTCAACAAAGATGATAACACAAGAGCACTTTCATTCACATAATTCTCCCTCCTTATCCGACTCTTCCTTCCTCTGTGCCCTTGAGCAGAGGACGCCTAATGGAGTACCCTATTACAAACAGCTCTGAGAGGGGGAGGTTCCTTGTACGTGTGTGTGTCCCTGTGTTTGTGTGAATATGCACTTTCTCCAGGCGTGATGCTGGAGGAGATATCGGAGAGATAAACACTCACATTAGTCTCTGTCTGACACATCTACAGTCAGACCCCCTCTACAGTGCAGTGGGAATACAAAAAAAGGAGGAAACTCAGCGATAGGGGTGTTAATGAAGATTGACCTCTGGGTTCGTGCTGCGAGTCCTTTCCTGATGAGAGCTTAGACACAAACCAATGGGTGCTCTCTCACTTACAATATTCTAACATCTACACTTGTGTTCATCACTGGACTGTTTCAGAGGACACTAGTGCCTTCTGATCAAACCAGTATCCCTGTGCTTTCCCCACGGCTTGCTCCCCACATCGACTGTTGGATTAAAAGGTGAGACGGTGGTCATTTACTGCTGACAGATGCTGACTGGGAAGCTAAGAATAGAATGTGATAATGGGCTGGGAACACAGCTGGTGAAGCACAGGACAAGCTGTGCCACTGTACACTACAGACACACTGTGCATGTGGAGTGTCTGCCTCAGGCACAGTTTTAAGAGTCTTTACATTCATAATTAAATCATGTTATGACAAGGTGAAGGTTAATGCTGCATGAGGTACATTTAATTAGAACTTACGAGACACTGTTTTATATGTTCAGGCACAAAATGATCTATTTAAAATGTGATGTGAAGTAACAATTATGTGCCAATACCTGCTTGCTGAAGCCTAGTGCTCGGAGAGCTTGCTTCACAGCTGAAAGACGTTCTTTACTTTGTGTTGAGGATGTAGCAACTGGAGGGTTTTCCCCAGGAGCAAGTCCCCTAAGATACCTGAAATCAAATTAGAAATGAAACAATATAAGTAAATCTAATGCAAATACAAATCACACAAATTTAATGAATGTGACCAAATACATGGGGCAGAAGTATTTAATTATAATACAATATATTTATTTCTTTACATGTATCACCCGGGCACACACACACTGTGTTGCCATGAGGTAACATTCAAATGTAAAGTATGTTATCACCAGAAAGTCAATATATGGTATCATCAGCACATATAGACTGTAGCCAAACCATGATAGGAGCCTATTGTACACAGACAGGAAGGCATTGAACAGAGTTTGCACCACCTCGGGCAAATGTTAGATATAGCTGTTGACATGACCAATATGACTATAGGGTCTGGATTTATTCAGCCAAACAGTGCGTGGAAATGTGGGGTGTCAGAGACAAAGCTGGATACCTTCAGTCACAAACATGACCACAGTTTAGTGTTATTGTATTCACATCACCTGTGAGCCAGAACATTGTTGAGGTAAAGTGTACTCTTCTCCTCCGCTGATAGGCCCTCAGCCATCAGATAGAAAATAGTGAAGTTGTGTTGCTGAGGAGCCATATGGACCAGACGAGACTTCTCCAGCATGTACGTGAGCACTCGCGCTGTAGAGACAAGACACTTTAAATACACAGCCCACAGAACCTTTTATAGAACCTATTATTGTTCCTACAGCAGAAAACATGTGTCTGTGATTAATGACCTCTTTAAGAGTAATCAAATGAAAAGGAAGGTGAATTCAGGTAAGCAGAGGGAAACAATATATGATCTTCTACTGCCCTCTGCTGGTTTCCTCTACTTTAGTGCATTGCAGTTGGGATCAAAATCAAGAACAGTTATACAAAAAGCAAAAGAAAATCAGCTTTTTAATATATTAAAACAATAGTACTAATGTATATTACAATATTATGCTATAAAAGAGATATTTTGTCAATTAAAAAAACATTGTCAGTGGCACAAATATTGCTTCTTTACTTTTGGAAAAAACAAAACAACAACAAAAAAACATACAGTGACAAATCCATACCTCTGATTATTGTCCTACTCTTTTCACAGTATTGAATGTTCAAAAGCTTAATGAAGCGGCTGGAGTTCCTGTTTTGCTGTGTTTTAGCATGACCAAAAGCTTCCAGTACAGAGTTTACCTGCAAATAGACAACAGATTAAGACTCACATTTTATACTGCAAATATAATGTCTCTCAAAATCATATTTTAAAATAAGAAAACAATGGGGTCTTAACAATTCCATCCACTAGATGTCAGTGTCTCTGTAGTAAATGTCCTCAGATGAAAGCAGAGCAGGCTGACCTAGATATTGACTCATATTGATGACTTCATCAGAATATCATAGCACTTACATTAATTGCATGAGAGGAAAAGGAAATCTATGGCCATATGGATAGTGCACTGCATACACTATGGGGAAGCCATTTTAACACCAGCTGCCCTTCAAAATTTCCCCATCCATTAAGTTGTCTGTGCCACACCCCATATCAGAATTATCACTTGAATGCTTTTCCTGAACAGACTTTAAGCTCAGACTCACATGTTTCATCCTGGAGTCCAGTGTAAACCCCTTAGAGCTGGAGCGAGCACTCAGGTGCCTCACGATGTGCTTACAAACTTCTGTCTTCCCAGAACCACTCTCTCCACTGCAATGACAAAGCAATAAAAAGAAATGAATGCATTTATTTATTTTAATAAAAACACTGAGACTCAATGCATGATAATGACAATAAATGAGTCTTCATCATCTACCTCATGAGCTGTTGTATTTTGTATCATGCACATATCTACAAAAATGGCAGTTTTCACTTTACAGGTATTTGACAGCATGTATCACTGGGTTGTATTAATCAGACATATGGTGACTTTGTAGCTTATTAACACGCACACCCCTATACCCTGGACTGGGACTTGTGTACTAACAGCAAACAGATGGTTTGAGAAGGTCAGAGGCTTTAGTAATAGCCCCAATGAGAGGTGCTGCTTGTCCCTGTGTATCTGCTACTAACAGCTCTGCAGAGAGTCCAGTCTCAAGGCCTCTGCCCTGTCTTTTCATTTACCAGTTTTTATTGGATTTCAAGGGCATTTTCCAGCCCTCCACGGAGATTGAGCATGCCGATTGCTAAAGTGTGTGGCGTTTGGGCTTTGCAAGGTTAACATGACTGTGAACTGCTCTTTTCATGCAGATAGACTTTGATATCTATAATTGTACTTCCTGTTTTAACATGAACAGATGTGGCATAAGAAGAAGTTTGAGAAGTTTGAGAAGAGCAACCATGCTCTTCTCAAACACCAAAGCCTACTATTTCATACAACAATTGCTATATATAGAAACACTTCACACTGTGATTTTGTTAAATGAATGTTCTAACTGACAGCAAAAAATTATACACTTCTTCACAAACTTATACTTGACTAGTGTAAAACTGTGAATAATGTTGCATTTATGATGGTATTAGCTGACAAAAAAAGTAATAATAAGAAAAAACATAAAAATGTTTATCTGCACCTTGACTCTTAAGAAACACCATAGGACTTTGCATACTGTGTTATTTTTGTATCTGCTTTGACTATGTGCATCGTTGTGTGTGATTGAGTTGGAGATAGCATGTGGTTGGGGTACATTAAGTTGCCAGATTGGTTACAACTCAGCAGGAATGTTAGGAGAGCCGGAACGGGATTTAATTGCAAACAGGGAGCAGCTCTGTCTAATTGAGGGACAAAGACCATGACGGTGCAACGCTCAGAGCTAATTTCCATGTTTTTGCTGACCTAAACACGCCCACCTTTTGGCCTATTCAAGCCCTCAGGTGAATGTAGCAGGTGGATAAGAAAGGGGTGTGGACATTATTATTATTAAACCAGGTGGCTATTGTAATTTCAGTGTTACTACTGTAATAATTACTCTGTTGATTACCCTGCAAGGTTGAAGTGAAAAAAAAACTAGAGCATACCTTAATATAAAACATTGAGGGCGCCTCTCCTGCAGCATCATGTGGTATGCCCTCTCTGCTGAGGAGAAGATGTGTGGAGGTAAAGACGAGCAGAGGCGCCCCGTCGAGCTCAGATACAACTGACTCACCTTGGAAAAAAAGATGAAATGAAGAAGTATTGAGTAGTTAAGGTTGATTTGAATACCAAGTTAGAATATCTGTAAAGGTGCATTGTGTAACTTTTCTGGTGGAGGGTCCATCAAATGCTTTTTCTCCATGGAGATATTATTGTTTTGTCTGAAATATTTCACAGTACAGCATTAAACGTTTCTATCATCATGGAGATCAAAGCACGCCAAGTTACTGATCAGATCTGTGGAGAGGCAACCCGGCACACAGTCAGAATTCCTGTTTTTCTAGGTATTTTTGTGGAATAAAACCACCTGTAATTGAATACATGTAAGGCAGATTTGTTTAATGTCATATTAAGGAACATTCAAAGCAGAGAAATGACATATCCATATGCAAAAAAAGGTGATGGACCCTCATCTGAAAAGTTACATAGTGCACCCTTAAATGCAGTGACGGATTATTTTTGTTTTTTAATAAAAAAAACACTACAGGTAAAATTTATTATACTCACAATCTGTATTATTTAGGTTGGGTTATTTAAGGTAAGGTTAATTTAAAGTATGATCAGCTTAATAATTAATAGTATATTATACACAAACATCAACCTGGCCTTAATTTTAAAATGACATTGAGGTGATATAAAATAAACTCTGTGAAATAAACCAATAAACTGCAATCATGACCCAAATTTTTACTCTGTTTGTTTTCTAAAAATACAGACCCAGACACCAGACACAAACAAGCAAATGATTAAAAAGTAATATGAACTCCTCTGCCTTGGTGCATAGGGACGATGCCCAACATAATGGAAAAAAATTATATTATGCTCTACCCTTGAGGTGTTCTGTTACATACAGTCAACAAGACCTCCTTTGTATGGCCTGATCTTTTTGCTGCGGTGGTATATTTAAGAGATGAGCCTGGCTGCAGACACCAGATCAGGGGGGGTGTCAGACAGTTGGAGATGTGCTAGTTGTGACATATGCTCATATTATATTGGCTTCACTACACTCTTAGCGTGATATGGCACCTGGAGTGATTCCAGCGCTGGGCAGGACAATCAGACGTGTCTGGCTTTGTTATTCATAAATGAAAGAATATCAATGACATTAAGATTTTTATGTGTTTGGAAAAATTGAAGTGTTTTTTCAAGTAGTAATGTATTTTATAATAAATCTAGTATGGGTTTCATTTACAATGCATCTAGAAAATCCTTGGTTGAACTTGCTCTGTCAGCTTTTTGCTTTGCATCAGTGCCAGGAATATTACATTATTTATCAAGCACAATCTCCATTGAATCTCTAGAGCAAGATTATTGTATGAAAAGATGTCTCACTCTGTTCATGAACGGCATCTGTTCAATGAACCTTTTATAAAATACTTACCAAAGTGGAATAAATAGGCAATTCTTTATTTGGGTTCACAAGAAGAAGAATGTGTCCAATGTACGTCTAAAAAAAGAAAAAAACACAACTTATATTACCATTTCATCTTTATAATTTTGCTTTCTGCTGACTATGTATGAGTAAATATGTAACAGCATGAGAAATTGGCCCCACTGACCCAGTAACCTTCCCCAGTCAACACACAACACATCCGCCCCTCCACAGTTCACTCACCCAAACCCTAAGGCAAAAGATAAAAATAACTCCTTCAATTTCCGACTGCATTTCTATCTCTCGAATGCAGTCAGAGTCCCAGAGGCAGTTAGACAGTTAACCCTCCCTCCCATGAGATAACACAGGCATTGCTGACATTCACCAACATGCTCTGTCCTTAGGCTGTGGCTCAAGGTTAATGACTTAGACCAACTAACCCCTCAGGAAGACAACAAAAGCTCATGACTTATTTAAATGTATGAATTAAGAGATGTAGCAAATGATTAATTAGTGACATGATGTGTTAGAAAACCCATGCAAAGAGGGTTTGCGGTGTAGAAATGCGTGATTATATAGATGTTAAAGCTGCACTGTACAACTTCTGGTGGGAGGTTCGTCACCTGCTGGTCTCCATGGAGATGTTATTGTTTTCCCTGGAATGTTCCTTGGTATGACCTTAAACATTCCCATCTAGCATTTATTCATTACAGGTGTTTCTATTGCTCAAAAATACGATAATTCCTCCTGTCAATAGGGGCAAAATCTGAAATGTAATCAGGTGGCAGAAACTCGACTAGAAATATTACACAGAACAGTTTTAAATTTAAGCCAAAACTATTATTATGTAAGAATTTGTGTTCCTTGCACTGCTCCTTCAGATATGATTTAGTTTTGTCTTTACAATTAAAACAACTTAAATGTTTTAATTCAATGTTACATCCAGTTACTGTTACATTTACTTGAATTTTTTTTTTTCCCAACAATTTTGGCTATTCTCCCACCTCTGCTCTAGACTGGGGAGTGGATATTTTCCCATATAAGACCATAGTTTAAATTTTGTTAATGAAAAACATGAAATCAGAACATTTAATTTTGTGTAATCTGTAGATATTAAAACTTACATATAGTGGCAGTAAATACAGTTAGGAAATCAATCTTTTTCTGTGTTTTTTGTACTAGGGCAATGGTCTTGCTATTCTGGCATAACAAAACCATCAAAGCCCCTTGTAGCAGGCCACCCTGCTGAGAGCATATGGACCATTCACAGCTTTTGTCCAAGCCCACTTTCTCTTCAAACACATCACTCCATAAATATCTACAGACAATTCTCATATAAATCACCTCAAGCATTCTATCATCCTAGCTGGACGAACTCTGGAATTGTCAGTTTAATTTACCCTTTTCCATCTCCCCTATATTATCCTGTATCCATATTCCCTGCTGTGGATTCCCATACTGCCTGTGGCCCTCCTGGTTTCCATAATGACACACAATTACCAGCAGTTCCTCACTAGACAGCTTTACATTGATCTGACTCCCACCTTTGCATAGAATATTCCCAACAGAGGCATAGAGGCAAAGTTTTAAAGGAAAGATGGAAATTACAGCAATGTAATAGGCAAAACTGTTAGAGATGAATGGATTTTACTATTGAACATGGTGGTGGCATTTTCAGTCGATCTCAGTGGTATTGATTTTGCCATTGTCACCAATAGAATTACATGGCTGAGTGCAGCGACATTTGCCAGAGCTAAAAGGAAATGCTAAATTACGACCTCAAAAACTAGGAAAGACAGAGCTACTAACAGTGATGGGAAGAATACTTTGAATATGTATGTAGATACAGAATACTAAATACCCAAATTAAAATGTATTTTGTAACGCATTCTGATACATGGTCCAATCAGAGTACTGTATTCTGAATACTTAGAATACTTTCACACAGAGTTGAATTGTATGTGAGTTGAGTTGAATTATAGTGTAAAAACATGACATATAATTTCTTTTTTCTCACTAATACTGTGCACTTGAAAGCCAAGACTACATGATAAAGTACTGTCACGTATTCTGTTTAATTTAGGAAAGTAAGTGTATTCTGAAAACCACCAAATGTACATGTAGAAGTAGCATTTGGACTACATATTTTCAGTACATGTATTCAGTTACGGCACTTCCCAACTCTGCTTACTAAAGAGGAAAGGTAGAATATGATATCTGATGTTATCCTGACTGTATATATCTAATTGTTCTTATAAATAATTAATGTTGCGCATGAGTTTCTGAAATGTGAAACAAGGGCATTAAAAAACGTACATAGATTTGGTCGTTGCCGAAGCGTTTCTGCATCTCGTAGAGGAGACTGCTGTCGGTGAGCTCACTCAGAGATGCCAGGTCATCATTGGGAGCTGGAGGCATCAGTTTGACCTAAAGACAAGGCAAGGCATGGCAAGTTTATTTGTATAGCACAGTTCGTACACAAAGTAATTCAAAGCGCTTTGCAGAATAAGAAATACATTAAAAATCACAATAAAAACAAATCAAAACATAGATAATCATCATAAAATTAAAAAGAGAGGAATATTAAATTAGAGAGAAGTGTGCCGAGTGAAAATCTTTCAGTCATACGCAGCTAAACAGAACTGTTTTGAGCCTGGATTTAAATAGCGTCAAAGTAGAGGCCTGTCTCACATCTTCAGGAAGACTGTTCCAGGTTTTAGCTGTATGAATCTAAAACGCTGACTCCCCGTGTTTAGTAATGACTCTGGGCACCAGCAGGAGGCTGGTCCCTGAGGTCCTTAAAGTGTGAGATGGTTCATATGGCACTAACATGTCACAGATGTAGTTTGGTGCTAGACCATGGAGAGACTTGTACACAAGCAGAGCCGCTTTAAAGTCTATTCTCTGAGTCACAGGAAGGCAGTGCAGAGACCTGAGCACAGGACTTAAGTGATCGTACATGGATGCATGTGAAATAAACAGTATACAAACTTGCATAAATCATATGTTAATAACAGGGAAAGCACCTGTTCCAGTTTGCTAGCTCCAGAGCTGAATGGACTGTCAAGGCCATTGTCTTGAGAGGGCTGTCGAGTCAAGCCTCCACCTGCCTCACGAAACATTGCACACTTCTCCATAAAACTGTCCCTTTTAGAGATGGATACACCAAAAGGATTCCTGTATAAGGAATATTGCAAAAAATAAAAAAGAAGAAGATTAGATGACCAGCATAACAACCTTTAGATATGTGCGCTCATACTCACAAGTTCTTAACAGGGGTGTTGAGGTCCTGCAGTGCTCCTTCATACTGTTGGTTAGTTGAGGGCAGAGGGGATGATGGGTCTTTTAGTCTCTGTAACCAGTTTTCCTCTGCATTCAGAAGCATTTCAGCTATGGGCTGAGATGCAGCGATATCTAAACAAGACACAATTCAAAAAATTCGACGAAATTCAGTACACTATATTTCAACTCGTTACTCAATTCTTAAACCTCCCAATGGAAAATAATCTGCTTCAAGTTTGGTTACATTTTATAATAACTACATCTTAATTACCCTTAATAAAGCAAAAAGAAAGACACTTTACAGAGCATCATTCATTCACTTGGTGGTGGTAAGCTACTATTGTAGGAACTGACAAAACCTTGAATCATCAAATCATCTAAACATGAATAATTTTTAATAAATTGTTCTTGAATTAAAGCTTCTATTTAGGCCAGGTCTCCAACCTGTAGCTCGGGAGCTACTGGTAGCTCTCCACCCCCTTCCAAGTACCTCGCCAAGGGATTTCTGAATTACAAGTATTGTGCTGAATAAGTCAAATTTGATTATTTAAATGCCTATTACCATTTGGAATGTATCATTTAGATGCCTAAATTTTTGCACTAATAAATGAATAATGGTTTATGTTTTATAGGCATCTAACTGTACCTCATCTAAGGCTTACTGTATATTTACTCAATTTCTTGTGACCACTAAAATGAGTACGTAGTTCTCTGTCATCTTTGTTTTATAAAAGTAGCTCGTCAGAGGAAAAAGGTTGGAGACCCCTGATTTAGGCCAGTTAGAAGTGGTTATTATAAAGTGTTAACAACATTTTAACTGCTCTTTTTTAGTAAGTGAAGTTAACATATTTGACCTATTATCTAAAAAAACGTATAAATTCTTACTATAACATATTTAGAAGCTACTACTCTTTAGTCCATCAGTTTTTTGTCCTAACAAACTCTGCTCTTATTTTAGAACTCTGAGGAGCACTGAGCACCACTACAGCATGTGAACACCGCAGTGGTTCATCCATCTGTGCTTAAGACGAGAGAGGGGTGTGGGTTACCCCTGTCTGTAATGAGGACTAACAGGACACAGGGGAGGGGAATGGCTTCGGCCCATCTTTTTATTTCAGCCTGACTGACAGCTCCCTGGACCCCCATCTCTAGCCTGGTGTCTCTGTTGTCATGTGGCTACTAACAGCAGCATTGGGGCGTTCCAAATGAAAAAAGGGGTTGATTGTGTAGGTCTCAGAGGGCTTGTCTCATGTCCATTCTGTGCCTCCACGCTCTGAGAGAGTATTGATTAAAGCCGAAGTGAGATGTGATAAAGCCATGAGATTGAGTAGTGTGAGGCAGCCATGTTGTTTGAAGTCCAAGGAGGTAGAAGCAAAGCCAATGTTATCTTCCCTCACATTAAGGGGTATTTAGACGGATCACATTTCAAGTGTAAATCCAACAACTAAGGCCTAAAACGGGATTTCAGTTTGGAAGTCCCAACCATGATGCTATGAATAACATGGATTATCTCACCATTGAGTCACCTGTTAGTGGATGCAAATTAGAGCAGTTCTCTCTAGACTTGGAAACATGAAACATGTAATAAAACACTGAACAAAATTGTGGTCTATGCTAAGTAATTGAAATTCTCCATGCAGTCATTTGAATAATGACATGTTTTCTAAATACATGCTTTTAATTAATCGCACCAGCCTCTTTACAATTAACACCATATTTGGTCTTTCCTTCTCTGATTAACGATCCCTCTGTTTCGGATACACATGTGCAGTGAAGGCAACGTATTCATTAGCACTGCGGGTTACTGTGTTTGTTTTCTATTATCACACTCATGATCATTTTGCATATTAACAGGCTCATCTTGATGAACTCAAAATCCATTTCCTGGTGTCTTTGCATCATTAACTTCTGTTTGGCAAAATATGCTCGCCCATATCCCACAATCTCAACACATTTTACACAGAGAGTATTAGAATGGGTTACCTGAGGGCTTGTCTTGGTTGGAGTTTAAAAGTGTAGGGTCTGCTCTGTGTTTCAACAGCCGGTTAACGATGCTTGTCTGTAACATTGAGGAAAACAAATCATTATACTCAACAGGATCTTAAGTCTCTCGTTAAGTGATTTTCAACTGCGTTTGGGCAACAAAGAAGCACCAACTTTGAAATGAACAGGACAACACAATGAATATAAACAGCTAAAATAATTTAAGAACGCGATGCAGCATTCAGAACATGTTTGTAGAGGTCTAAAAACTAAAAGGTTAGCATATTATTTTGTTTACTTAGACTTGGACAGAGATTTAGACAAACTTTTTTGATCCACAAGGGAAATTATTTGGACACAGTACCTCACAACACATTATAATAACATAGAGAAATTACAGTGGACATTCTATTATAACTAATTACAATCTTTGCCATTTGATTGTGCATCTTCTCAAATTGTGATTACAATTAAATTGCGATACACTGTGCAGCTGTATTATTATTACCGGTATTTATTTGCAGTTTTGCATAGCTGTAATTTCACAGTATTCAAAATAATAGCAGGGAACCCTGACATCTACACTAAAGCCTGTGACTCAGCACACTGGGTCAAGCGGTGTAACCCGGGCCAACAGCTGGGAGTGTACAGTATCTCGCCTCAAACTCAGCTGTGCTCACACTCTATAAATACAGTACGCACGTCACTAACAGCAAACATATGAACCCCTTTAATGCGCCGGGGATGACTGAAGGACCACGAAAAGGTCATCTGAACAGTGGGTCAGTGTGCACCCCATGACCACGGGACAAGCAGTGGATAGGAGAAGTCAAAATCCACAAAAGAGTAAAACTTAGGTGTTTATTCCTCTTTGCAAGATAGATGATGTATAGGCCAGTCACAATAATTACTATATCGACTTATCGTTCATTATATGAAAGCTGGAACAATATATTTTGGTGCTCAGTATTTAGAATGTATTTCTTTGCAATAATGAGGAGATTTTTGCTATTTTTATGTAATGCAATACATAAGCTGTACTGGGAATTAATAAATTACTTCTATGGTTAATTCTTGGTTCATTTTGCCATTTATTTGCCATTTATTTGTTGCAGCTCATGTCTTTTAATGATATTGTCTATAAAAATCGCAATATTTCTCTGTAGCGATACATCACATTTAAAAAATTATTATCGTGACCTCTTGATGCAATCCTGTTTAATCCAAAGTGATGGATAAATCTGGAATATTGGTAAATATACATTTTCTATTATTGGCTAAAGACATTGTGCACGGACAACTTGCTAGAGGAGACAAATATAGAGCTTTTTTGTTGTTGAGATACTGGGGCAAGATACAGCAAAAAACAAGCACACTCAAGTCACTGATAAGGACAAAAATGCCTGCTGAGAGCTAGAGGGCTGACCACTTTGTCACTGTGCCAAATACTGCTGTAGCAGAAACTGGGGGAATTAATGTTCTGAAGCACTCGCATTTCCTGACTCTTTTGATATGAATTAAAAGCCCATAAATTAATCCCATCCCAGTAGGTTTAAACTATATTTCCTCACCAAACACAAAATTATTCAACTCTTTCCCCCAGAGAAGGCAACTTGAAAAGCTCAGAGTCAAGCTAAGAACGCAGAAAGCCAGGACTTGAACTTATCACAAGACAGACAGCGCAGAGCTTAATTAGCTGCAGTAATGGGGTCGTACATCTTCTTAGAGGGTCAGTGTGTAGTACTAATGCCACACAGCTAAAAGGTCTTTGGGTCCAGTGTAGCAGGTAGTTTTCTGCTTGCCATTTGCTGTTTCATTACTGAGCAAAACCTGTTATTACCAGAAGCTGTGGTTTACTTGGGTGGTTACGGATGTGTTGAAATGTCCTGTGTTGTCCTCATGTCAACAGGAGACAGCTACAACACTGATGTAACAGGAAGTGAGAGGGCCAGGGACTCGTTGCTATGCAGGAAGCAGAGATGAGGTCTGGCACCAGTACAGGGGTGATGGCTGGAGTGATTTAGCACTTCAAGAAGAACCCAATCGATTATCCCATCCTCTCCACTGCCACTCCCACGTCCGATGCACTTATTTACAGGATTAGATAGGCACATGCAAAGTAAGAGCAAATGCCAAGTGCAACCGGTAAGGAAGTCAGGATGATAAGACAAGGTGGTCAAAGGTTGGGTTACTCTGTATATAGAGCCTCACAACAAATTAGTTATTTTGGATCATTCGCTAAGCTTCAAGTGTCTGTACAAATGTTATGAAATTAATACACTGTACATACAAGCATTCACTCTATCTTTGGGGGACTTATAAAGAAATGTGATGGACATGCAGACTATAATAATCTTTGGGTTAAAAAATGGCCAGTAAAAATCAGGTAACCAATAATTCGATATGATTGCTGTTTTAACATGTAGTAAAGACATCTGATCATCAAAAACATCCAACATGTATCAGTTACAGTCAATTTTTGTTTAGTGCAACAGCATTTTAAACATTTTCTCCTTCATTTTTGTCTTTGCCACATTACTTTGTCAATTTCCATTAACATAATTGTTGAACCCCGCACAGGTTTTAACAAGTGTGAAAGAAATCTACCAATCATCATAATGATCAGATATACTGTGAATGTAAACATAGCTACTGTCAGCATTAAATAATTAAATACTTTAAAAAAACTTTGTTAAACTTTGTGGAACAAATAATACGCAATATGTCTGGTATTCATACAGGTATGGCAAGGTTAGACAATTCTAAAAATAACACATCAAATAAAAGTGTTTGATATTTTTAAGTCAATATGTTTTCTCTTCAGACCAACTGTAAATCAATATTTTCCTCCTGAAGAAACTTTTCAACTGCTAATATAAAATCCTGTGGCAAAGGTGAGGCTGTTTCTGCCCCACAGCTTGACTTCCTCTCATCAATACTACCAAAGATCAGTTTTCTCACAGTCTCTGCAGAAACCCTCAAGACATTGAATCAATAAAGTCCTCAATATTTCAACTTTTCTATCTGAATGGTTCATCAGTGTAATTTGAAGATTCTAAATTAATAAACTAAAGTACTTAATATCAGTAGAAATGTGGGTTCTGTCTTAGTGGTGAGTTACCTGTCCATATTTAGCGGCTAAGTGGAGAGGGGTCCAGCCATGACTGTCTGCAGAGAGGAGGTCTGCACCATTTTCTAACAGCACTGCGACCACTTCTCTGTAACCACTGGCACATGCTATATGGAGCTGAAAAAAAAAAACAGGGGACATTTTCACATACTTAATCATATAGTATTTCATCATTTTTATCTCTTGTAAAGTTTCCAATGCAAATATCAATACCTAATAAAACCTAATTAAACCACATAATAATAAGACGCGTTGTATGCATAACGTACCAGTGTGACCCCATCGTCATTGGACTGGTTGAGGCCTCCTCCTGAAGCAACAAGCTGCCTGACATCTGACAACATGGTGACAGCTCTCTGCGTTTTCATAGTGTGCATAGATGACATGTCCACACCTACAGAAGAAACAGTTACTCACAGCATAGAGATATTATAAGCATTCTGAAGTACCATGCATAAATAAGTCAACAAAATGTCAAAGGGATTTAAGAACTATAAATCAGTATACAGTGTTACATGTATATTTCACTTTTTGTTTTCTATGTACTGTGTGTTTTCCTTTTACAAAGATAAAATTTTGAAGGATGTAATAAATCAACTGTGAAAGTCTTGGTTTGACTTTTTAAGTCACGTTTTTGGCTGTAAATAATACACAAATTAACACTCAAACTGCTTTTCTTAAGAAGCCATTGGCTGTTAAAAATGTGATTGAATAGATGGGAAAGATGAAGAATGAATTCAGTCTCAGATATACAGTACATGTTGATATACATTTCTTCTCCTCCAAATCAAACACTTGTACAGAGGGGACACGCTTTGACAGTAGCAAAGCCCCCAAATGGGGTTGGCCTCATTTCTCAGATATAGAGGCTCTTAGACAGTCTGTCTTCTTCATCCTGCCGCACCAATCTGATGGAGTCAGAGAGCACTCAGCCAAGTTACTATAGCAACAGAAGGCTGGTATGTGTGCGTAAGTTGCTTAGTGAAGATGCTCCAAACGTGAAGGGGTAAAAGGTGGGCAGTACTGGGACCACCACAGGGACTTCATAGTGTTCTGTGAGTGATTTGGATGGTGGTCTAAGCACTGATGAGCTGCCTATCTGCAGATTCACATTGGTCATGTGATGAGGCCAGTATGAGCCCAGTGACACAGACATGAAGGAAAGCCCTTCATCACACCCTCTGTGCTCAGAGGTTTGTCAGCACTCGTCCATTTTCTCAGAGTCTGTCATCTTCTACTGTCATCATGACCACACATCTGTCCCACATGAATTCACATCTGACACTGTCTTTTCCAGTGGGACGGAAGCTGTGCTATGTATGGCCAGAAGGATCATTAAGCCTGTGGGTGTGCATAATCTTTACAAATACCAAAAGACAATCTTTCTCTTTCTGTCCCTCCCTCAAAGGCCCTATCCTAGTTTTAGGAAAAAATAAATTACACATTATACGTTGGTAAAGATACGCAAGCTTGGACTCACAGTCACTTATCTACAACAGATATTTTTCCACTAATCTTGCGATTGTTAAAAAAAGTTTCCTGCTCTGATTTCCACTGTGTAAAAGGTTTTATAATAAGACCTAGTTGAAGTCTTGGGAAACTGATTGTCATTTAGCTGTGCTTTTAACAGTGTTTAATTGGCTTTCTTAAAATTTTAGAGAAATAGCATTCAATAGCACGCAGTTATATCTCTAAATAATTCCTATTCTGCTGGAAAATATAAATGAAGTGGTTGTGACCTTGTTTCTCTTCATAGTTTTACCATTTTCTTCCAGGTATTTGCGGAGGATGTAGTTGGTTTCGGAGCCTTCGGAGGTGTAGTCCAGAGGTATGTTTCCGCTCACATCCTGCAGCAGCACATTGACACCGGCCTGAGAAACACAGAGCCCAGACAAACAAAGAGAATTTTAGCAGCGCTCATTCATCAGAGCAGAATCAATGATAAAGTGGCTCCAATTATCTCACAATCCCAGAGGCCGAAACAGGACAAAACCATAGAGATTTTACTGAAAAGATGTGGTGAATTAAAGAAGTCATTATGTGTGAGCCTGAGGGGGTGGGGCAGGAGGTGGGCCTTACTGTTACCTGGGAGCAGAGGGTTAGGGTGCGTGACAGAAGATGAATGTGTGTTTATTTAACTGTGCTCTGGTGCTTTATGGGAACAGATAAGACTGGATACCCCCTCCAGCTGCTTTAATGGCTTTAATGACAAAGCAGGGGTTGGTTACAGTTTGTTTATGACTGATGACTCCTCTTTGAAAAAACTCCAACTGCATTTCTTCAATACAAACACATGCATTGGCCACAACAGTATTTATATGAGCACAGTAAATGCACAAAAAACACAAGATGTATCTCAGAGATTTTAAATCTTTTTTGGAGATTTTGAAGAGTCCTGTGATTGCCCCAGATGTACATTCTTGATGAAAGGACACAGGCAGAATATGTAACATCCACACAGAAAAACCCTGGATCAATCAAATCAATCAAAACCTTCTTGCTGTGAAGCAGAAACAACTGCCTACTATGCCACTAACTACTATGTCACTGTGCTATCCAAAAATAAAACAAAAACAAAGTCTTCAAATAATAGTCTTGTCACCATTCAACTTGCCTGCATAAGAGAAGGACAGCAGACATGTTCAAAATTAAACTGCTGCTCCTTTTGACAATAAGTTTTTTTTTTGTTTTTTTTTTTTGAGTTTTAACAGGTCTTTAATTCACTTTCAGTTGTTCAACTGAAGGTGTGGTGATGTAAAGACAGGTATATGGACCTGGTGAGATAGTAGGGGCCTCCCTCAGTGAATACTCCTACCAAATATTCATAGCTAATAGAATTCTAACGACTGTTTAGCACATGACAGAGAGATTTATGACCTGGTCCTTAGGCAGACGGAGTGGGAGACAGAAGGTGAAGGCAGAGACCAAAGTGGGGGTGGAAATACAATGGAAACACTGGAGCTGTTAAAGTCAGTGGTTCATAGCACCAAATCAGCAGGTCTCCAAGGACGACAATCTGCTTCTGCTTAGATGAAGAAAGTGTGATTTGTTTTCTTTCAAGAATTTCATGATTTAATCTTATTGTGTTGTGTTAAATTGTTGTAGAATAAATCAGTAGAGGTTCTGGTGATTCTCTGTGGACTTGGCTAATGGGTGCAGTTTTTCTTAGAGAGTGGAGGTTAGTTAAGGGTTAACAAAGAGAATTAATTAACATTATCACAGCTATCAGCTGCAGCAGATTATTCATGGAAACAGGAAAGCTTTTCATAACAGGAGCAGAGGCTGAGAAACAGCCATGTAACAACCCTGTAATTATGCACCATCACACACACAGACACGCACACACACACACGAATACAAACAAACAAACAAACAGACACAAAAGTAGTACACAATTCAGACTGCAGTAAAGAACAGGGCCTTTTCTGTGATCCGACAGGAGGGTAAATGGCAATGACCAATACTGGCACTAGTGCTTTTATTTTGATTTCACTTAAGAGTTTATCGGCCATAGGTTAGGCTGCTCTGTATTCTAAACAATCGTATCGCAACTATATATACTGTGTAAGTCTTACATTAATAATGTGCACCATTTGGCAAGATTTGGTCTGTTGCCTGTCAGAGAATAATAATCTGTGCTATCACAGAATCCTCATAATATTCATAGGCCTCTGTTCCTATTGTGTGAACGTGACAAACATAAATGGTGTGATGTTGGAGGCGTCTGCACAATTGTCCAAGGATTCATACACATTGACCTCTGACCCTGACTGGCTGCCCCTGACACATGATGAATCTGCCCCAAACGCCCCATAGAAGGAAATCAGTTTAGTCCAGTTTACTGGGGTTCATAATGGCAGCTATGTCTCTGAATCAATAAGTAAGTAGATCTGTGCTAAGAGCTGTCCCTGGGGAAGGTCCTGTGGAGACTAGAACTCACAAATACAGAGGGTATGGTCAAATTAAAAGCAGTCGTGGGAACAATATTACTGTTGGGTTGACTGAATTGGAAATATGGAGGTGAATTTTGTATTTTATGTATAATTTTGTAGTCATATTCTTCAAAAAATCTAGCTCTTTTAACGCTTGTTAACGGCGCTGTGGACTGTCAAACGTGGAATTTAGAGGAAGTTAAAATGATCTTATTGGAGACCCAAAACATTGAAATACTACTTTATAATAACTACAAACTTGCCAAAAATAATACAATATATTTTAAAAAAATTGGAATACTGTCTACAAACTGTAAATGAAACACATTTGAAAGGCTTTTATCTGTTTTTACTTTTAGTCTTTGCATGTCCATTCCAATTCCTCTGCAGAAAAATGGTTCATCGTGTGTTGTAAAGTTGAGCACAGTCACAAGCTCGGAGTTAATCTCTCGACTACTCTGAAGATTTGAATTTCTTAAGTTTCCAAATCATACATATACATACAAAGAGGAAAGTAGGTCACTGCACTTTTGACTGAAATGATCCCACTGAGTTTAAATTGTCACTGAACAAAGCTGTCATGTGGATCACACACCTGTATTACAAAACCTCACCTTTACATTAGTTTTGTCTACTCACAGTTATTATTATTAGTTCTATTTATTATACTGTGACCTGAATAACCACCGTTTATTGAACAAAATCTTGGCACCCCTAATGACAATACTCCAAAAAACATACATTTTTGACATTTGGCTAATAGTTTAATGGGTGACTATTTAATAATTATAAATTATCCATTTTATTTAAAGGAGCATTAAAAGGGCATAGGCAAATGTGTAGTGACTGTAGAGAAATATGTTTAAAATGATTTGTGACTTCCACATTGGCTCACAGAGCCGCTGTCCTGATGTTTGGAGCCAGCAGATAAGAGCATTAACATTAATGCCAATCCTGACTTGACAATGCTCTTATATTCTCATCCAGACCCCTCCTCCGCTAACCCATATAAGACAAGTCTGCTACCGTCTCTGTCAGCAAAACGCACTTTACCTCTGAGTGCCAACTGCAGGGAGGAAACTAAGGACACAGCTACAAAAGGCACACTGCAGAACAGAGGAATAGCAATACAAAAGCACAGACATTAACAGTTTGTGTCAATCAGAGATAATGCTGCCCGTCCACAGACCAATCATTTCTTCCCATTAAAATGGTAAACTACCATATTCTGGAAAAGATTTATAGCAATAATGATAAGGAAGCCACTTGAGAACAGAGCACAGAAGAACCAGGCAGAGGCAACTGGACTCGAAGATATGACTGTCAAAATGAATATGTCTGAATTATGGAAAAGTGATAATGTTTCTCAGTAGGAGCTTAGCACACCCATACAAGAGACACACTCGGAACGGCTTTGGCAACACAGAGAACTCAAGTATGAAACCAGGACTATGGGAACAACAAGAGATTTTTATAAACATACATGGTACATCAGTAAACATACTGTATACACTGACTGTATCCATGAATTGAAATTATAATCAAGCCACTACACTGACAATAAGGGTCTTCATCAAACAGCAGAAGAAAATTCAAACACAACGGACTCCAGGCACTCCAAAACAGTAGAAAAAGTTAACACATCGCACGAGGAAAAATATAGTTAAAAGGCCTTTATTTTAATGGCCAAAGCCAACATGTTTCGATCGAGCAGAAGAAGATGCTTTGTAGACCTCCACAAAGGCATTGGCCCACTCTCACTTACAATTCCTAGATCTAAACTAAAATCACTGACTCTCATATCTTATTACTAATAAAATTTCATACCCTTTACTTATCTACCAATGACAATCTCACCACAAACACATTTGCAATCTCTACTTGGCCCTACGTCAAACATATTACACACTACTCCATAGACCAGTCAGGCACAAATCACTCAGAATCCAGTCACCCAAAAACCTCCCTGGTCCAATCAGCATCTGATGATCCCTGCCTGATGAGAGACTGGCGCTCCCACCCTTTCAGCTGCCCATGTGCCCCTTCAAAACCTTATCGTGGCTACAGCCCTCATATCTGACTATTGCTGCACTATTTACTGTCTGTATGTGTAGTCAGTGTGTATAGTTTCATGACCAGTTCTCACCAGGAGCAGCAGCAGCACCACATCAGCATGGTCACACACACAGGCCACATGCAGAGCGGTCCATTGGTCCTCGTCCTGCAGGTTCACGTTCAGTCCACGCTCAATCAAGAGCTCAGCCGCAAACACGTTGTCATGGCGAGCACACTGTAGGTGAACAGACACTTTTCAATTATCTATCAGTGCGTGATGGGAAGCATTTTATAAAACCTGTATTTGGATATTTGTATGAAATAAAGAATTAGAAAATCAATAGTGTCATAGGATTGGAATTCTCTTTTGAATGTAGAATACTATATAATAACTTCCCTTGAAGGTCCCATATTATGCAAAACTGACTCATGTATGTGTTTAGTCATGTTAGAATATTGTTATTATTGTTATCTCATCAAAAATGTACCTAGAGTTATGTTTTGTTTCATTCACACATGTCTGAGTAATGCTTTATTTTTAGTCTGTCGACACCTTCAAGGCGCAAAAAGCTCTATTCCACTCTGCAATGTCATGAAGAGGTAGTTTTCAAGTTAACAGCTACCTTTTACCTTTTTGTTTAATAGAGATTGGGAATTCCAGAGCTGGAATTATCCAAATGATTCTGGTTAAGGTGTATAGAGTTCAAAAACACAGCTGAGCACTTGTATTACCACATAACACATGGACAGAGTGTTTTCAGTTTGAGAGGAGAACGTAACCTAAATAAGCAGAATTTGTGTGTTAAACATGTGAATGTGTGAATTAAACAAAACACAACTCCAGGTTTTTGATGAGGAAACAAAGTTATGAGATAGATCAGAAAATAGTGTACTATGGGCCCTTTAAACTGGTAAGCCCACATTGGTTTTGTGCCGCTAAACTTTAGTCTCAGTTACATCATAGCACACTTGCTGTGTAGAAACGGGAAGCTCTTGTTATATGAAAAATGTGACAAATATGACAGTGGTCCCAGGGGAGCTCATTATAGGCCCTTTCTTTCAACCCTGATTATTTTAGTGTGAGACTATTTCCACAGTTTATGCATACTTTTTCTACAACCAAATATTGATCACTATAAAGTAGAAAATAAGTGCACCATGTGACTTTTCCAGTTAGCCTCAAGCATATTCATATAGATGTTATTGCTTTGCCTGGTATGACATTAAGCTTCTTCTGTCTGCATGAAGACAAGCAGGCGATGCAACCAAGCCATGTTACAGCTCAGATCTGTAGAGTGTCTGTGCTCATAATAACAAAGCATGTTTTTTCTCAATATTAGTGAGGAAGAAAACACTTTTAATTGAATATATACAAGGTGGCAGTTAGCTGACCTGCATCCACAAAATTTACATAATTCACCTTTAAAGTAAGTTAAAGGTCTGAATACAAACACAGGCCAACTGAGTCTTTCTTACCAGGTGTAGTAATGATCCTCCAGACGCTGTTGTTGTGTTGATGTCAGTTCCCTCCTTCAAAAGTCGCAGCACTGAAAGGGAACAGAATTTCTCAGTTATTAACCTTGAATAAGTGAAACCTTACCTTGCAGACAGGCCGTTAACCAGCCAAAGACCCAACCTTAGCGGACAGCCAAACTCCCTGATCCACGCCACTCAACATAAAACCCTCTGAGAAGTGTCCTCTAGCTGCCTTTGACATGTCACTGAGGAGGGGCAGCAGTGGGTCACAAGTACTTACATACTTCAAGGTCTGGTGAGCATCACAACCCACTCACACTAGACAAGTAATACAAACAAGAAGATTGAGAAATACTGAAAGCGGACAGCCAAAGATAAAACAAGGTCATAGCGGTTTGCACAGAGAAGGCTGCAAATTGTTAAAAAATCAATACCCATATACTACTCAACATTAAAACTAGTATTAAAACTAGATACGAGTTTGAATTATTATCAATTACAGAACTAATATGGACCTTTCCAACATAGTCTGAAAAAGGTCTCAAATCATATTAGAGATAGTATGAGAAGTATGATTAAAGAGGTAACACTTTTAACCCTTTTTCTTAGACATTTTATCTGCAAACTAATAATTTTTTTCCAGGTCTGACACTGACATATCCATAATATGATATAAACATGTATATTTGGTGTCTAGGCACTCTCACCTCACGGCAAAAAGGGTTAAATTCCTAGATGTGTGTTTTTAGTTTCCATTGTTATTTTCAAATGTAAAATAGAACAAACCTGGGATGGGTCAAATGCAGAGATCAGATTTTTCTACAAGGACAGTAAAATATACCTTAACGGTCCTGCATTTGCAGACATAAAAAAAAAAAAGAAGATTGTTGTTTTAGTTACCATGAAAAGGAAAAGAAGTGCAAGGACAAATCAGAGTTGTCAGTAAGAGACAGGTAGCTATTTGGACACAAAGTATTAGACAATAGAAGAGAGATACAGGGTAAAATTTGCGTGACCTTCCACCACAAACGCAGCCATCACTGTCAACACCTAAACCAACACCGCAATCTTTAAGCAAAACCAGGAGCTCAGCAGACAGTCGCCATGGTAATTACCTTGGCGATAAGTCCATGTAATGAACTCCGATGATGACCCCCAAGAGGTCATTTCACTTACAGGGCCGTTATCTCGACAGCAGCAGTAAATAAGCATCCCTAACCTCATACACAGCTCACGTCTTTAGGCTACAAGACAGAGGCAAAAAGCAATTCAAACACTGTCAGGGTGAATTTGTCTCACCGCGTTACAGACTTCAGAAGTAATAAAATGTGCTACATGGACTTTGCTATTTACATATAAGTACAATACACCTACTATAACAGTGATACAGACATTCGCTCTCACCTCCACCCACATTCCAGCATGTTCAGAGCATTATGATATGTTTATTGCCTCTCTTTATGAAAGTTCTTATGACTTTTACTTTCACAATGGCTCACAGCGAGGTTGCTTTTACAAGATAAGAGGATTAAAGGGTATATGTGAAAATCCAGCTTGAACATCAGTGTTGATCTCACAGCTGCATGGAGCCAACAGCAGGGGCACAGGCTATCCATTAGGGATGCGTGATCCAGCTTTTCAGTCATCATGCCCAATATTAACCGATACCAGTGTAGGGACGGAAAATGGCAATTATTTTGACAAAAGATAGTTAACCGATTACATTCATGTATCCTTATTTATCCAAATTGATCCAGTTTGTATGAATAAAAGTTCAAACACTGTGAGACGTTCTAGCCTCAAAATAGTCTTATTACATCAAATTAAAGGCCAAACCAGAAAATTCGCTGAACCAATATTATAGAACTGATACCTGATCCAGCTAATTTTTCAGTATTAGTGCCAATATTTGATACCAGTATCACTATCAGCCCATGATCCATACTATCTATTAAGCTACAATACCTAAATATTTTAAATAATTTCACATTGGTACTTGGAAGGCACCATAAAGCTAAATACTGTAATCCACTCATTAAAATGAATGTACACAAGGCATAGCTCACAGCTGGTTTGACATCTGGACATGCCACCTCAGCTTTCCAGTCTGCAAGCTGTCCCATTTGTAAAAGCTTGTCAGGGATGGCCACTGACAGATTCTGTTACCTTCTCACTATACAAGAGAATGTGGCTAATGAGAGGTGAGAGGTCAAGAGCCATTTATTGACCCTAAGGCCATAATGAACACAAAACAAAGTGAACGTGTGGCAAAAAATCTTAACAAAGAATCAATACAACTGCTGTAAAACATGCTCAGTCAAGACAAACAGTAGGGTGAGGTCCATTCGGAGTCTGGGGCCATCTGTTCATTTCATATGCATTAGACTTAAAAATGCACAAGTCCATTTAAAAGTCATTGTTGAAATGATACAGTAAAATGCATGTGATGGGTTTTTAAGATTTCTAATTTACACCTAATCTGGCAGGATAATACTTGGTGTAAATATAAATTATAGTTTTATACTGTCCAAAAGTTTGGCACAGTTTACAAAGAATTATTTTTTTTCTGTTGCTCAAATGATAATTGTTAAATATTATGTGTTTGATTATTACTGGGTAAGGGTGGTTTAGGACTGTATGATTGCTTATTGTTTATCAAATGATATGTGCATGCAGTCAGAAAGGAATAAAAACTAGACTGTTTGGTAAACAGCTCAGAGTTGCAAAAATTGAGTCAGATAAAAGCCAATGTGATGCTATTTCCTCTTTGTGCGACATGTTTTCTCTAGTGTGTGTGACAGACAGTGCGTACTGGGTGAAAGGTGAAAAGGTGGTGTGAGGAGAAAGCACGTCTGCGGGTCTTGGAAATCTACAATGAGGAACTGTGTGGACCAATAATGGATGCAACCAAAAAAGGCTAGAAACCAGAATGCTAGACTATGAAGAAAAAAATATATAAAGGTGTTCAGGGCTAGAAAGGGGAGACAAGAGCGGCACACCCGTCTGGATCCCGGGTTTTGTATTAGATCAGGGACAGGTAGTTGAACCCTACTGCTTTGTTATTCAATATTTTGAAGTGTATTCAATAAATAGAAGTGAATTTAACTCTTCTTATCTGTGAATCCTTCTCCATCAACGAGCACTCGGAGGAAAGAGTTTAAGGTAATAGAAAACATTTACAGGACTGCTATTGGGAAAAGTGGAAAGGTATCGTACTGTCTTTAAGTAGAGTTGGAACTTAAGTACTGCTCTTAAAGAAGGTGGAAAATACTTAGTACTGCAGTGAGGTGGAAAACAAATGTCAAATTAAAGGAGTCAGATAAGGGAAGAAAAGTTCTCTCCTCCGAACATTATATAAAAATGTTTGTTATATTTTTATTTATCAAATAATCATTTCACTGTCTATTAGAGTGGTTTTGGCCTAGTATACATCATGGATGCTAGGTAAAAGTTAAGAAAATTCCTTAAGTTGATGTAATGATTTCCAACAAGTACAATTTTAAACCTAAAAAAATTACTTTACTTACTTACTTTTTTTTTTTTTTTAAATAAAAACATGAATATAATGAACTTAGTGGTGTTTTACTAAAATCAGTAGTTAAGTCTTTCACAGGCACTTTAAGCCACCTGAAGTTCACTTTTTTAACCCAAATGTCTAATTGTAATCTGTGTCATTATTTTGTGTCGGATTGGGTCCAGATATTTACCAACAACCATCACTGTCACCCTGGATAATTTGTGCTGAAAAGACATTAAAGTTTTATGGCAGTTTTTGATTCATGTGGATTGGCTCAATAATTATGTAGCTCCCCAGCTCCATGTTAAAATAATGGCAGATTTGAATATCACCATGTCACGTGAACCAAACCCAAAATATTTTCTGTATGACCCTAGACTAATTAACAAACTTAAAATAAACAGAGGCTCCACAAGAAATAAAATTTGCCATATCTTGAAATCGTTTATCAAGAGACTACAATATTGCACATTTACAGCAGCCATAATGAGACTTGTGACATATAGTTGAGTATAGGTATGAAACATGCTGAGAAAGCACTGCATAAAATCATTGCTTCATAATATGCTCCATGTGCTATCCATTAAGATGCACAGTGCCAGGTCCACTCAGTAGCTCTCATTCACTACAGCCTACAGCCTGTATCTGAAGTGAGTTGTTGCCGGCTGTAGGAGAGGCTGTAGGAATGAGGCTGTCATTTTGTGGAAAATTGCAAAACAGCTGTTGGAGACATATGGGGAGTTTCCATGGCAACGAGGCACTGGTAGATGAGAGAAAAAAGAGAGGTGTATGTATTGGAGCTGTGCAGGTGTACAGGGCAACAGGAAGCACGGCTAATGTGGTCCTACGTTAGTATGTTAAAGCAGTTTGTTGAAGCAGTATTTGCCTTATTCTGTTGACAAAGTGGTGGGTGTAATTAACATTTCATTTCACTTATTTAAAGTAACCATCACACCAAAAAGCTTCATATGAAATTCAACAGTAGTATAAAGTCTGACATTAACACCAGTATTTCTTAAATTTAACATTACTTTGGACATATATAGCATCAAGAATATAATGAGTCACAGCAGTTTATTTATAAGTTACATTAAATTCTATTCACCAAGCACCACAAATCCTACAAAAAAAGTTGGAAGAGTCCCAGCCCCAGTCAATTAACAGTATCCCTACCACAGCAAGACAGGGCAGTCACCTTGCTGAACCCCTATGTGTGCTCTAGATTTGATGCATTTGACACAATACAATGCAGCTTCTGTACATGACACACTCCAACAAGACAAATCTTCCACTTTTCCAAAGCATCACCCTCTGACAGCCCAGTATGAGATTCTCTGCAGATCGCTCAGTCTGATGAATAGTTTGATCTCACTGGTTATCACACACACAACAGCAGAAGTGTTTCACAGTATCACTCCATGTTTCTAAAATGAGCTTTGAAATTCTCTCATTGTTTCCATCATGATGAAAAATGACCATCGCACGTTTTGCAATAAGCCACTTTCAGCTCCAAAATTCTAAAATCTCTTCTGTCAGATATAAGTTATATGTAAGCTTCAGTGGGGCACTTTCTAACCTCATAGCAGGATGGTTGGACTGGACAATTAACAATACAAATAATATTAAATCAAGATATCACAGCTGGATATCTATTATAGTTTGTAAAAGCCTTCTTTACAATTTAATAACACTCCTACAGATTTCAATATTATAGTACAAAGACTAAAAACAAAATCCTGTCTATATGTTGCGAGCCTTTTAGGTCTATTTTACTGTTTCTATCTATTGCTGGCATTTCAACCATTGCCCTGGGAGCACATTTGGAAAACTGCCTTTGTACTATGTACGGGCAGCAAAATATTACATTATGTGTACTGTTGAAATAGCAAACACTGTAAAAAGGCAAACATGGGCTGTTATTTTTTGTATTACCCTTTCTACTGGGCTATTGACATATAATCACAGACTATGAGTGATCTGAAGCATCAAAGTTAAATAACAGTATCTGTGAATAGTGAGTGTGAATAGTGAGTGGTTGAGTACACCAAGGCTATTCTGTATGGAGCTAGAGTTGCCACTTCTAAGCTCAAAATTTGATGTTTGTCAAATTAGCTTAGTAAAATCCATTTATGACTGTCAATCAATGTTTTCTGTTTCTCTTGGGACCTTTCCCTTCTGTCAAAAAGATGAATGCTTTCTGAGATGTAGTTAAAAGTTGATGTTCAGAGCTTTCTATACCTCTCGGGTTTGTGTTCAACTTGAGTGCACACTGATTGTGTATCATTAAAAGCACAGTAGAGTGACAAGTTCCCTTTTTCCATCTGAGCCGTTGAATGAGCTCATTTGTCTAGGGGATTCTAGCAATAGCTTAACTAGAATCTGCAAATGTATTTTATCTACCATTTTCAGTCAAACAGAATTCAAACCACCAGCAACAAACGGCAAAAAGAGCATCAATAAGAAAATTCCTTTACTAACCATAAAAAGAGAAGTTAAAAAAGATAATTTAAAGGTCCTATATTATGCAAAATTGACTCTTGTGAGCTTTAAAACATGTTAGAATGTTATTACCTCCTAAAAACATACCTGGAGTAGAGTTTGCTTTCATTTACAGGTTTGAGTAATCCTTTATTAGTTTGTCTAGATCTCTAAAGATCAAAATGCTGCTTTACCTTGTGATGTCATGAAGCGGTAGATTTTAAATTAACAGCTCCTTTTCCCTTTAGTTTTAATAGATATTGGGGATTCCAGGGCAGAAATCATTAAAACAATTCTAGTGAAAGTGTATTGAGTTTAAAAACACAGTGGAGGACTTACTGTATTACCACATGACATCACAAGGTGGATGAGAGTGTTTGAGTGCAGAACTCAGCCTGAATGCGTGAGATTTGTGTATTAAACATGCATTAATGAAACAAAATATAACCCCAGGTATGTTTGTGATGAGAAAACAACATTATAACCAGATCAGAAAATAGCGTAATATGGGCCCTTTAAACACCACTAACAGGCTGCAAAAAGAGCATCAATAAGAAAATTCCTTTACTAACCATAAAAAGGCTCTATAAAGATACATTAAGAGAGACCAAGAAGTACCCCAAACATTCTACAAGATGCATCTGTGCCATAATCAATGATGCAAAGTGGCTTTTGAAATGGATTGTTTCCAAAAGCGCACTCTGCCAGGTTTGACCAATGACATGTCACCTGAATGTGTTCAGCTGAGCCCAGAGGCAGCACTCTAACAGGCCGTCAATCAAACAGTTGACAAGGCAACCCTGAGAGACTAAATACAACAAAAACATGCTATTTGGTGAATTTTATCTACCACTGTTCTAGTAGCAACATTTCACTACATGGCATGTGTATGGGTAAAATGTATGTAGTTTGTTACAGTTTTTGCTATTTCATCTATTACGTGCAAATTGGTTAAATGTCCTATATTACACAAAATTGATTATTGTGAGCTTTAAGCCATGTTATAATATTGCTATCATCAAAAACATATCTGGAGTTGTGTTTTGTTTCATGTTTGAGTAATCATGTGTTATAGTCTGTCTACATCTTCAAAGCTCAAAATGCACATAGTGGTAGTTTTCAGATTAACAGCTCCTTTTACCTTTAATTCAGTAGAGTTTGGCAATTCCAGGGCTGAAATCATCCAAATGATTCTAGTGAAGGTGTATGGAGTTTAAAACCACAGAGGAGCACTTCCTTTGTTACTATATGACATCACAGAACTGAGTGTTTTCAGTTTGAGAGAAGAACTCAGCCTAAATATGCAGGATCTGTGCATTAAACATGTGTAAATGGAGCAAAAGATAACTCCAGGTATGTTTTTGATAAGCAAACATTAAAACATAGATAAAAAAAAATTGTGTAATATGGGCCCTTTAACATTGCACACAACATTCAAACTAAATTAAAGCAAATGTCAATAATATACTTCATTTGACACAGAGGCTTTATGCTCCAATGGTAAAACAGAAACCAGTGCAGGACCTAACCTGTACTCAACCATCAAACATCTAATATTGTTTGAGGGGCAACAGCTGCTACACTTCTACATATCTACTTTGAATTACTTGAAAGATGATTGCAAGAAATCCAATCTAACCAAATGTCAGAGTGCCACAGAGTCACTGGGCTGGGATATATCATGGTTATGTATTGTAATATTATCCCTTTGTTCTATCCTGGTTAACCTTTTAGATTTGTCTTTTAATATTTTATTCTGAAAATGTTTGCATTGTTATATACTTTCCACACATTCTAACATATTTTGGCCAGCTAATCCAAGACTCTTTGTAATATATGGCACATCCGTTCTGATTACCTTGTGTCCTGTCAGCAGCACAGACTCTTTCTCTGCCATATCTCAGAATCTCTCCTTCAGGCGGCTCACTACAGATGAGCTTTAATTAAGATGGAGCAGGGATTGTACTGTCGGTCTCCACCAGTCTGTTTGCATGTTCAGTGCTGGCTGCATCCTTTCTCATTTCTGACTTCTCTTTCTACAGCACATGTATGTTTGTAATTTCTATAGTTTTCTCCAAGCATGTAGTAGTAGGTTTAAAAAAATACAAGACAAAACAAGGCATAATATATCACCAGTAACCATAGACTGGAACTGAACTTAGCCAACTATTGCCTCTCTGTCCATAACTGCTGGTGTCAGGCTGGTCATTTAGTTCTTAAAATGTTTGTATTAACCCACTTTACATTATTCTGTGTTTTTAATTTTGATACTTTGACTGTAAATCCAGAAGTCGCCCCTATAACTGCTAGTCTTGAACTGTGAACTTCATTTGACTGGAGCTGAATGCTATGGATGATGCCACTTCTTCATACAGTGCCAATAACACATTAGTAAACAACACAGATTGTATGTTCATCAAAATTCATGTTTGGATGGGATAAATATAACAGGTTAACACTGGTTCTCCATAAATGTTGGTCATAATACTAGTTTAAGTACTCACTAACCTTCATATTCTAGGCTGTGGTAATTATAATATAATTTAGGCTGGCTCCTTTCCACTTGTGATAACACTAATGAACAACTAGCATTTCCATTTCATATCTCACGTAGCCACTGCCAAGAATTTGCACCACCATTTTTGAGACCGGTAAGCTGACTACATTAGCAAAATCCTATTCTTCTAGTGGGCAGTCTTGTGGGCACCTCCTCTTTATTAATCCCCAGGCAATTACTACCATGTATTTACACTCTCTCACCTCCCGAAATACTTGAGGGTGAGATCCATAAATCATTTAACATCGGGGCTCCAACAAAGGTTAGAGTCTACAGCTAATTCTAAGGTCAAAATAGCAACTTTAACTACAATTTCTTATTAACACAGAAATAGTCGAAACGGGGTTAACAAAAGATATATAAATTATTGGCCATGCATAAGTAGCTTTGTTAGGGTGACCAGATTTTCAAAATTCAAAACTGGGATGGTTGGTATACACAAAATTGTGAAAAGAGAGCCTAATATTGTCCATTCTTGACTCACTTGTGGATAAGTCATAATATGAAGGATTTCTGTCTGTGCGTTTTTTTTAACCTGATGGTCAATTTCAAGCACGGTTTTCTGTATTTTAGCTAAAAAAAAGACAATACATTCCCTTCTTTACTGTGGGCAGGTATCAGATTGGTCAAAAGTAGGGACATGTCTTGTATAAAACTGAATCAGTGGTTTTGGATACATCTGCTGAGGCAGGAGGCACAGGGCTTAAAACTGGGGCTGCCCCAGGTAAATAGGGACATCTGGTCACCCTAAGCTTGGCAGCAATCCAGTGACTTGCAGATATGAAAATCCAATACACAGTTAATGCCAAGAAACCATGGTAAAGTTTAGTATTTTGCTGTGACACTGTACCAGCTGCTGTGCCAGTCCCCAACTGAACCCCTTTTATATTCAGGGGACAGGGATTAGCACAGTGACCTGCAAAGACTCCTCACAGAACTGATACAGATCCACACAGACAGCTGGCCTCCTGACAGCCAAGAACCTGACACACACCAGCAGAATAAACTGTGGTTTGGATAGACAGCGATGCCCTTCGAAAAGACCCAAGGGATTACACAGGAGTATGCAAATGGACTCAAGGTTTGTGTGGGCGTTTTACTTGACAGCCATTCAGAAAGTTTGTTGTGTATTTTTGTTTGCATATTTTGGTTCCAAGAAACTATCATTAAGAATAGTTAAGTATATCTCACCATATCACAAGATAAAGTTATATTATCAGGATTGTCAGATTGAAATCATAGGCTTCTTTGAAAGCAGTGATTTAACACTGAGATACAGTTGGTACATTCACAGCATCACTTAATTTTAGTTTTTTTTTGTTTTCTCAGTCTATATTACATTAAGGTTTTACACACCGTCGTTGTCATCATGGCGGATTATGGCATCTTGCAGAATGTCAGTGAGCCCAAAGCGAACGTGGTGTTTCTTCTTGTGGTTAGGTAGTACTCGTGCCTTGTTTGTCCCCTGCTGGCGCTGTAAGTTCTTCTCCCGTTCGTAGTAGGCTCTGATTTGGTCACAGCGCATCCGTCTGACCAGCCGCTGCCGCTGACCAATTGGGAGAGACTCCAGCAGACACTGGTCGATCTCCATATTTTGCCGAAAGACGTTACATAGCTGGAAGCAACCTGGGAGCAGAGGAAATACAAAGGGAAAAAAGTTTAACCGAGAAAATTATCTCAGCACAGGACAAATAATAAGTATACAAAATCACAGCTATCTATTGCTCTTTGACGCTGATAAGGCCAAATATTATGACCACCTGTCCAGTAACTGAATTCAAGCCCTGCTCAATATATATTCTATATTGACAGATCACAGATCACAACTCACACTCTTGGTGATGATGTGAGCAGATTGTGAATACTTTCTTACTATAATACCTCCATTTTCCAGCGTCTAATGTAACTCACAAATATGCGGGAGCCTTTTGATGCTGCAGTCGTAATGTTAGGCCTGATCGCTCTTCTGAATATTGTAGTCTGTCTTTGTATTGATTTTGCTCCTCCTGTGATTTATTTACACACATTGTGAACTGTGATGTGTTTATTTGTACTCAGAGAAGAACTGAGAGGTACATGACAGCTTCTGTGTGTAGCCTCTGTTGGAGCAGAAGACTGCAGTGGTTCTCTTTTACAATGCAAAATATTTCTCACTCTCAGAGGATTTTAGCCAAATAGACCGGAAAGAAAATACTCCATCTGTGACTGCACTGTATCGGCAGGTAAAGAGCAATAACTTCTAGTATTATCTAGCTTTGCCATTAAGTTGAAAATCTTATTTGTACCTGGAATAACACTTATAACAACACTTATAATTTGGCATCTTGTCCGTTCAACAAGCGCTTTCACTTTCCTTAAGGTTTGCGTTATTCTTTATGACTCATCAATGTGCCGCTCCTGTTGCAAAATATCACACAGTATTATGCCAAATCCCCATTTAGACTTTTGTGTTATCTAACAGGACAGGGGACATTATGCTAAAGCATTAAACTATGCTTTGAATAGCATTTTATTACACTGTGAACAATAAGTCATAGTATTATGACAGGTGGATTGATGATAAACACACTTTGCCTCTTTAGAATGTATATGGTAAAATAAAGATTACAGGAGCCTCTTTATGTCTTTGTGACTTTGAGATATACATCTACAACCTGTACCAGCTCACCCTTCTTCTTCACACACACACGCGCACGCATGCACACACACACACACACACACACGCATGCACATGCACACACACACACACGCATGCACATGCACACACCATACACAGCTCCTTGCCCAGATGCCATCTGCTCTGACAGACCACAGAAAAGGCTCTCTTTGTGTTTGGGCTTCTGATGAGAGGGTTACCACCATTGTGCTTCTCAGGACAGGTGTCTACTTCAACTGTTTTCAGGGACTTGGCTGCAGGTTGGGAAAACACACAGTCCCTAAAAGCAAACTATGAAGCACATCCAAATCCCAACTCTAAATCTAATTTTCAGACCATAAACACTTTCCTCTATCCCACATAATGATACACATGCTTTAAATTGTTTGCCATCTTTTGGTCTCCCAAGAAAAAAGAAAAAAAAACACTGCACAGTTATTGGTTGGATTTTAGACCAGATGCCCTTCAGACAAAACAGCATGCACTGCGAGAGGGAGTTAAACTGGCTACCTACTGCACTAAAGGCAGAAAGTGACAGCATCACTGTCACCATCACATACAGAAAAAGTACCCACAGTAGACTGTAGTGATGTATTACTGAACTCAAATACATCAAGGACATCAGCTGAATAGCGAGGAGCAGTAACCTACACTATTACACAAAAGGAAATGACTAAGATTTAAAGCGCCCATTTTGCGCTATTTTGTGATCTATGTTGTTTCCTCATCAAAAACTTACCTGGAGTTCTGTTTTGCTTCAGTGTTTAACACACAAACCCTGCTTATTTAGTTGTTTTCTCAAAAAGAAAACACTCCGGTCCACCTTATGATGTCAAGTAGTGACAGAATAAGCGCTCCATTGTGATTTTAAAGTTCATACACCTTCAATGGAATTATTTAGATAATTTCAGCTCTGGAATGGCCAATCTAGTGAACTAAAGGTAACTTGTAAACTACCTCTTCTTGACATCACAAGGTGGAACAGAGCATTTTGAGCTTTGGAAATGTAGACATAATACCATGGTGTGTTTTTGAGGAGGTAACAAATTCTAACATGGATTAAAGCTCACAAGAGTCAGTAAGACAAGACATTATCAGCTCGATGCACCAAGGGACTGCCCCCGCCCCCCCCAAATGGTATATACAGTAATTGGCCACATGTGGAGCTAAATGTTAAAGGATTACATGTAACATTACAGTCCAGTTTCTCATTTTTACCTTGATATAATGTATACAATATGGAAACTTGAAGAAAGAAATTAATCAGAATGAATGAAGTAACTGGAAAATCCTTGATGGCTGAGTATAGCCCACACAGCTGAATGAATCATAAAGCTGAGATGGGAGAGAGAGGTATACAGGCTGTAGCATTATCTCTTTGCCGTTCCATTTCCAAAGCTATCAGCTATTGATTGAACATGGAACATCCCCAGTCGGCACCAGCTAATAACCCTGACAGCATTGCACCAGCTTGTAAATGAATGAAAAATCGTCCACAAGATCAAATAACAGAGCAGATATCAGAGTAGGAAGCAATATTAGATGCTATGTTTGTGGGGACAGTGGCTGCTCCAATATCCAAATACCTGAATGCCCTCTCTGGGTTATTAAAGCATTATTTTAAAGCAGCACCACTTTCCTTCATTGTGACTCCTTGCACCAATTCCTCCTGTCACTCACCCTTCTCTCCGCCTGTCTGTCACCAGCACTCCTCTATTTAAATCACTATTTCCCTCCCTCTCCATCTGCCCATTTTTCTCTCCAAAGGGACTTTTTCTCCGTGTCAGCCTGTCATTGGGTTATTAATATGCCAGACTCTTGTGCATTTGTGCATTGTAATGTCTTATTTTCTCTCTGTTTTAAATCTACTCATCCGTAAGCCACTACCTGCCGCATACACCGGTTAACTTCCCAACATCTGCAGCACGGAGCTCTCTGCAGCACACACCCACTACCACACATTGGAAGTTGCTGTCATAAATGTCACTGCAAGCTCCAACATAGGAATAGATTAGGCTACAATGAGCTACACTAAAATGCATGGCTTTCAGTACGATGTTGCACGCAGAGCTAACATTGCACACAGAGACATGCATAGGGTTACTCACAGCATTTGATGAAATGATAGTGAGACATTTTCAGAATCCGGTGAATGAAAAGACGTGTGTGGGTCAGTTGGCCAGCAGACAGTGGCGGAGGAGGAGGCAGCTACAGGTTTCACTTAAAACTAACAGCGACCTCGTAACCAAACCAAATGCATTATTAATCTGCTGGCTGCATGCGCTCCCGGGTCTGCATAATTCACCAGCCTTGGTAGTAGTAGCGGCAGAAGAAGTAGCAGCTCCTATTGCAGCAACACCGTTCGGCATCTATCTTTCTCACTACCTCTCACTCTCTCTCTGCCTCGGTCAAGCTGTCGGCGAGTTTGCAGCTGTCCCTAACTCTCCCCTCTTGCCTGCAGTTCGGAGAGGAGGAGAAGAAGAAGAAGCCGAGTGGCGGCATCTACACAGCCATGACAGTCGCACGTGCACAGACCTGCGTCACTCATAGACAACCGGTAGCATCCCTCCTCCCTCGGATCACACACCCCCAATGACGCAATGCTCTTCCAGCTTCCACACAGCAAACATGTATGTGATGTATTCTGCACCTTTCGAGTGGAGTGGAGAGGGAGCCTGCGAGTGTAGAATGACAGAATATTAAGGAAGGCTTGGTACAGCAGGGGGAGCAAGAGGGGAAAAATGGAACTGTAAGCCAAAGTGTAAAGGATTGCAAGAGGGAGAGAGAGGGAGAGGAATAGAGGAGAGCTGCTGCAGTGCGGTACATTTTGGTACATGACACATCCGATTTCCATCAAGTCTTTTATATGGGTCAAAATATTGAGACGCGGGTTTAGTGAGCGCTCAAAGCTTGTCACCAGGCAGTTAGCATATCTAAAAATCAAGTGAGGTGAGGTAATGCGGTCACACTAGGTCTGTAGGGCAGTACGGTTTAAAGGAGGATCTTGTGAATCCTTTGCCAAAGTACGGATTACATTATAGAAAGGTTGATAAATGCATAGGATATGAAAATAGCATAATGGAAAAACAAGAAAATATAGCTAGATAAGCTATAGCTGAAAGAGAAGATATAGTAGATGCACCCTTTTGACACGTGTGACTAAATGCTAACGTGACACAGAATTTTGAATGTGTGCCACTGCCTTATATCCATGCAGGACAAAAATTGCTGCATTTTATACCCCCTCTTGCACAGTCAAACAAGGGCATTCGGAGAAGGGGTGGGGAGCGAAGGAACACTTGAGGACTATTTAATACCAGGACAGATGAGGACAAGGGAATAAACTGCAGCTAAGGTAAAAGTGAATGAGTGTAGCTGTAGATCAATGTATGTGACACTGGATACTTGAGTATATCTTGACATATGGAATTAGGTCATTGACTTATATTCAGTCTGTCAGAGCAAATATAGAAAAACTACCTTGGGGAAAGATAAGACAGAGTTTGTATGCATGCTGCGAGAAGGAGCTACAATGAATCCTAAATAAGTCTCATCTACAACTCCATGCACATACACTAGAGCATTTTCCACACCCAGGAAAATTAGATTTCAAGTGGCATCTTTAAAGGCTAAAAATGAGTAACCCATGTCTAAAGCAAAAGGGTAAAAAAATAATATGCCAAAATAATTAATCATACATTAGATCTAATTCAGAAGGAAATTAACTTGACTAAGCTACAATAGACAAAAAAAAAAAAAAAGAATTATGATTTTTACCTCAAACAGGGTTAGCAGACAAAACGCATTACATTATCAAATAAAATGCAGCGTTTACAATCAGCTAATGGTCACCATTCAAATGCTGATTTCTAATCATGTGAGTATTCTTACAGAACAAACAACAGTGCATTTCCCTGTACACTCACAAGTCACTTCACAGTATGGTCCATTATTCATCCACGTTCTTTCT